GTCCATCCATCCATCCATCTAAGAACTAACTGATTATTTAAACGGATACTGATGCATAACACCTTTTAATGGTATCATAGGAGGCTACATATGTTGAGAAAGATTAGGAATGGCTGCCTGCATTAAAACATACAATCAAAACTGATCCACTTCTCAAGTGTAAAACGTTGTTTTTTATGTACATATTTTTCGTTCTCTAAAAGTAACTCCGAGTGAGAGGTCTTACTTTTGGATTTTCTTTCAGGAATGGTGTTGTATTGGGTGTCAACATGGATGGAGAGCGGTATGCTCCATAGACATTCATACAGAGACGCCTCATTGACTGGGTTGGCCCGCTGCTGTGACGTAGCAGTGTGCCCGCCATATTGATGGAGGCGAGCTAATTTACAGCTGCCCCCTCTCGAATAAACTCTGGAAAGACATTAATAATTGGTTTTCTCTAAAAAAAAAAAATTAGGACTCCCCGGAGGTAACTGTCACCCAAAAACACTTCAATGTCAATGTTCTTGATAGCCAAATATATGATGTGGTAAATATAGTTGTCTTGATTTCTTAGTGTCATATACACTTCTATGAGTGAAAATATTCCACCTCTTGTTTTGATCCTTTATTAACCTACTTAAACGTTATTATTCCTCACTTGAATGCCCTAAATCTGTAAATGTACCAAAACAAAAAAACAAAAAAAAACACTAGTGTAGACACAGCCCTTTAAGGCTATGGCTAATGTGGGTATATCCCATCCCAGCATTGAAAACTTTAATCCACGCCCACCTGTTTGGTGGGCCCCACCTTGGCCTGGAGCAGCCTGAACAGGCCTATTAAGTCGGTTTGACGACCTCACAAAAACACCATTGAAAGACAGGTCAGGGGAGATGGGACGCTAAGTCTAAAAAAAAAAAACTGAAAGTAATGGTTCTCAGGACCAAAGCGTAGAGAACAAGTGGGTCCGCAAATGCCTCAAAACATGGCCACGTCCATCCTCTTTCAGGGGATGTGACCTCAGCCATACTAAGTCAGCTGGGTTGTTGAATGCAACATATATACATGTATATTTGGATGTATGTCTACGGTTGAATGAGCCTGAGCTGGAGCACTTCGATACCCAGAATGCTTTGCTCTCAACTTGAAATATCGCGGGGTTTGCTCATACTGGATTGGCTCTTTGGTGACACCTAGTGTTTAAATGTTGCAGGTACTTTTTCCTTAGCGTTTTTGTAAATCTGCCCCAGTTATTTGCAAACTCCTTCAAGAACTAACACACCGGTTTGTTTGTCAAAATAACGAGACCAGTTTAACGAAGTAGGCCAAAGTCCACATGGAAAATATTATATTTGTCAGGAAAAAAGAAGAATTATGAGCCCGTACATGGTACGCAAATAAAATAAGACACTCCTTATGTTTTGCAAAGTTGCAGCAAAAATGGAGGTTATTTTAGTTTGGTTTGTATAACTAATGGGCCTATTTTCATGGCTTCTCAGAGATGATGGGCGTGAACAGACAGGAACAGGCAGAGGAGTTTTCTTCGGGTGGGGGCGGGGGGGGTGGGGGGTCTGTTGATGCTCATGTAAAGTTTGACACTTCACCTCCCCTGGCCCTGGCTTGCTGAAGGAGACCATGGAAGAAGAAGAAGAGGCGGACTTTCTCTCAGCTCCGGCGGCGAAGCGTTTCCCTCAGCTCTGGCCTCTCCCCAGGTTCCGCTCCCACAGTGATGTGTCCGGATTCCGCTCCAGAGTTCGGTTCAGGCTCCGGGGAGCGCGCTCAGGTATGAGGAAGCCTCTGTCTGAACCCTCAACTGTCATTCACCCGCACATGGAAAGATCGTATCTGGTTTTCTAAGTAATTACGAACAGAGCAGACAGGTGATAGGATGCTGAAGGACAATTGAAATGTCGTCGACACTGTAAAATGCTGTTTTTAATTTCTGAGAGAAAACACCAGATTCTCATGAGGGAACAAGTTCTATAAATAAAGAAGGCAGAACTTCCTCTTTCCCTTAGCTTCCCTTTAGAGTTATCAATCCAGCCATTTGCTGTTCAACTTCAGTGCAGAAGTTCATCACACAACAGATTATTGGGTTAACATTTCCTTTTCTATTACACAATCACTTCACTTCACTTTCACTTTATTTTGGTAAATTGTCCACATTAAACACAAGAAACAACAAAAGGAAAAAAAGAAAAAAAACAATAGACAAACCCACAGTTTACCAAAAAAGGAATAGGCCGAAGCAAAGCTTATTCTTGCCTACCCTATTTTTTTGGCTTACAACCAGGATTTTTTCAAATTCAGATTACATAGTACATAGTACATGTATAGATTTACATAAGAACGTGAATCTGTCAGTCTGTAACTATTGTGCTTCCATTAGCTGGAGGGGGAAAAACGGTGTTTTAAGATCAGGAACATAGGATTAAGGTTTGAAACAGCCTTCACCATTGGCTGAAAGATCTAAAACACTTTGTTAGTGAGATGTTGTTGTAGGTGCCTGCGTGTGGATCTGGACGGTCTTTTCATCTGAGCACACTAGTGGTGTTACACCTCAACCATGATGTTAACCAGATCTAATTCATCTGCATAGTTCTTAAATGTCACCCTGACAGAGTTCCTGACAGAAGCCCATGGTTGCTCAGCCTTGACAGTATGCTGCCTCAGTGGTTTTAACCACTTCCTATCAGCCATCTTCAGAGTTTTGCCCCAGCCCGCTTTCAGCAGTGCGTGCTGTCCAACTCACACGCCGGCTTTTTCTGCAGCCCCTTAGCCACTGCTTTTAAAAAGAAAGCTGTTTCCTTGCTGATCTATTCGTTATACCATCACCGTCATCGTATGTGAAGTTGCAGTTGGTTTGTTTTACTTACACAGGAAATATCCAGTGTTTGCGACAAAGCTGTAATTACAGGAAATGATGTTGGAGTGGGGGAGCTGGCAAATTAGATGTCCAACATGATTTATAAGTCCTGCAAGTTTGGATTTAAGTTTCATGGTTTGAGCTGTTTATACTTAGCTTTTAAATGACTGGCACTGACAGAATGTTATATCAATAACTTCTGATCACAGATAGAAAAAGGTCCTACTTTATTTGTATTTTTCATGTCCATGGTAAGGCTAATGCTTTTTAGATTTCATAATCAGTTAAAAATGTAGATTTACTTTCAAACTTTCCTGTGATGTCGAGAAAACTTGTCTATGTGTTCAAGAGGCAACAGGGGGAGCCATTTCACCAGCGTGCACCCCAATCCTTAATCAGGGACTTTCATATGCTTCAGAAACATGGAGAAGATTTAAAGAGCATTCAATTATTTTAGTCTTGAATTATGTACAGCAGAATTTGACATGAGCATCGTGTCCAGAGAGGGCACCAACAGTATTTACTGTATCTCATCTAATTTACAGCGCTCTTCTTTAAGAGCAGCCTCTATAGGAACATTATCTTAATTAACGACTGAAGGGAAGGATGGACTGTTTAGATAAAGTTTATTTTTTTCCCCACTAATTCCTGGATGCCCAAATCAAGAAGAATCATCAACAAACACAAAGCTGGATCTTTTTAGTTTCAAGAGGAAACTCCAGGTTTTTAAATAAGCAAGAGTCCATTCCCTATATTATTGTTTCTGTAAATCCTCTCTTCATCAGATGTGTAGTATAAGTAAAGCCATTTAGAGAAAAAACTTTGACCTTTGTGAAGCTGGTTCACTTACTGCATAAACCCACTTCTGGCAGCAATCATCTCTCCACTTCACCACTATACATCGAGATGGGAGCTGATTTTAAAAGCTCTCCTTTGAAATGTGGTCTCATACTGCTATAGAAAAGATTAATAAGGTTTTTTATTTTCAATTTCTTTTCATGAATTGAATGTGCATCACAGCACATAATCTGAGGATGCCGCTGAAGGTTACAGAGACACTATGGATTTGATATTCCACCAAGATTCTAAAATCAGATGATAAATCTGAGCATACTGGTACATATGAGGCAAGAACATGGAAGGATAATCTGTGGGCGAAGACGGTCTTTGCTGCTTTTTGTAAATAGCATGTTGTCCTCCAGATGGATGCTGTAACACTCTTGTAATTACACTGTGTTAAAAGGAGGGAGAGGAGGAATCAAAAAAGAAATGGAAGATGTGCCAAAAAGCAAAAAGGCAATATGGTATGACAAACCGTAGCAATAAAGGACAGAGTGAAAGAGGTGGGAAGCAGAATGACGCAGAAATGATGGGAACAAGTAGAGGAGGAAAGAAAGGATGCATAGATGTGGCGATTAAGGACCAGGACTGAAGGAAGGACAAAGGAACACGAGCTTGCTGGTAGATGCTTTCCTTTAAATAACATTGATTACAGACCCTTTCAGTCAGCTATAACTACTTGTTAAAACATTCTTTTGTGCAGAGAGCGGCTCGTCGGCTTTCACTGCCCACTCAGAGTCTATCCTTAGCCTCTCTTGTCACGTCTTCTATTACCACAGGAATAACATGTCAAACCCAAGGTGTAATTATTAAAGTATGCCGTTTTATGAAGTATCTGAGCAGCACAGAGGCCAGGTTTCACGACTTTGATTGAGGCTGCGTAACTGTGTTTTCAGACAAAGTGGACCCTTCACTACTAACCTGAAATGTTTTTTTAGACCATTGACTGAAGGAACAAAAAGAATGGGAAGACCAGTCACCTGCTTGACACATTTTCAAACATTTCTGCACCTTTTTTGTCCCATATCACTGTAAAAAAAAAAAAAAGTTAAGTTCCACTCCTATTCAAGTATTTGGGAGCGATGGTGTCCTTTTAAAGTGAGGGTCAGTGCTTTGGTGCATTCTTTTGAAAGAATTCACTACACTGAAATGACAGAATTACCTGGATTAATGGCATGATTGCAGTGTTCTTGAGTAAAGTATTTCATGGTTTCTTTCCCACCAGATGACATCATACGCTCCTAATTATTCTGTGTGCAACAATGATTTTAAAAAAAGCAATGCAGGAAGACAAAAATAAACAGAAATTTCAGCAATGCAGATTCTAAACATCTGAAATGACAAACTTGAAGTCAACTAATTTTTCGAGTTGTTGAGGAAAAGGATTTAGATGAAATGGTTGAGATAAAATAACACTTTAGCAAAAACTGCACGACCCTGCAACCACCAATCATACAATGCTGAACTAAATTAATGAGCGTAGCCTGACTAATCAGCTCCTGTAAACGTGCTCACAGTTTTCTTGTTTTTCAACAAACATAATCAGTTGCCTCTGTATCACCCACTTGAATACTAAAGAGATATTTGTCCAAATGTCAGCTGTAACTAAATGACGATGAACACAAAGAATCAAACAAGACGTGGAGTGCACAATGCAACAATCCCAGAGCAAGCACTTAAGAGAACTGTGTGAGTCCTGGTTCCCTTTTGAATTTCTAACCTAAAACAAGGACTTTCTCAGTATCGAGAACATTTTCTGCAGCATCTCTGACAGAGGAACCTACTTGCCATCAGGCAACATTTTTAACCACCACCCCATGCCCCCACACATGGTATATTTGATTTCCCTTATTTTCTGTCATAGTTAATATTTTTTACACAACATGACGTTCATCTTGATTATAGCCAACGTTTCTAATAATGAGGTGATGTTTTCAGGTCAAACGTTAAGAAAATTTTTTGTCATACAAGGTAAATCTCACACAGGCTTTGGAGCTACATGTGGAGGCATTCAGATGACATCACTTTTAGAGAAGGCCTCATTCATTTTAGGAAAACTGCCAACCCCACATTCTGCATTTTTAAGACAGCAGGGCCCCAGGGGAAAACAGGGCACTAGCCTGGTCTGCCAGCAGTCCAGCCCTATCACTCATTAAAAACAAGTGGGTATAAAAACGACGATAAAAAAAACACTAAGCATTTTACATGTCTTTTACTATTTCTAGTTACAAAGAGGGTTTCAATGATTTACAAATTAATGCACTGTTTTTATTGACATTTTACGGGGTGCCAAGTTTCTTTTAGGAACACAGAGTGTTATTGTAGTGGTAAACAAAAAATATGCTATAATAATCCAGTAATTACTTTGATTGCATAATGACACACAAGCATATTTACTTTTCTTGGAGTTCATGGAACATAGATGCTGTCAGGGGCTCCCTTGAATTCTCTCAAAGATTATTTGAATGTTTTAAAGTATCATTTTCTCCTCTCACTCATAATCATTTCCAATTTTCTGCCAGTTTTTAGATGGACTGTACGTGTTGCTCTCACACTCAATGGTGTGAAATTATGACTATGCATCTTATTGAATTCCATTTGATAATATTAGGAGCTGGCACTTTCAAGCTTTTGGTGGATCTTTAGTGTTTACTTGTGGAGGTGTTGTTGGAGCCGCTGAACCAGTTGTTCCTCTTGCTTGCTCGCTCGAAAAAGTCAAAGTCTCAGTTTGTCTGCTTCTCTTCCCCTCCCTCAGTCTATTAGTAACTCTGTGGTTACTTACTAAGCCTTTAACTCTATTAATATTTGTTGAAACGCCTCAACAGCAAATGTTGAGATGTTAACTGGTACACTATGCTCGTGCAGTAATTGTATGTGTGTGCATCCTGGACGTGTCATAAACACTCGTTGGATTTATCTAAACGAAAACTGGTGGGTACAGAAAAGCATTGGATGTTTACATGTTTAGCAGTGAGGGATTAAATCAGAAAAAGGAGGAAAAGAAAAAAACCCTGAAACAGGAGAACAAGAAGACGCCATATATTGAGTGCTTACATTGACTGGCATTAGCTGTTTATGACATTACACAGTGTGGACGTCATTTCTATTCTTAACCGAGATTACATCCTCTCTCTCCATCACACACACACACACACACGCATGCACACACATATACACTTGTCATTTTGTGTATATATTGTCCTCCTCCCCTGCTTCTTCCTACAGGTTTAGCACAAGATGTGTTTGATAAAGACTATTAGATACTAATTGGTAATCACTTTTTCTTGTTTCATACATTGACCAAACTCGCGCGCACACACACACACACACACACACGCACACACCAGTGGTGCAGCGGTGAATTTCAGTGTGTCGTGACCTTCTGCATCAAACCTACACAGGTGTAAAAAAGACGACATGTTCCCCGTGATGTTTGATGTGTGGGTGAACAAAAAAGAAGACTATATGTCTGACACTCAGACTTTCTTGCTCGCTGTGTCAGCCTACATGAATCCCTTTTGTCTACTCTTCGGCTCGTGGCTCCCTCAAAGTCTTTTTGCATTGATTTATTTGGCTGAGCGAACATTATTGATGTTCTGTTTATGATCTGTGTGTTCAATATGTGCTTTGTTTTATGTCACGCTGCAGCCACAGTGGTGCCGTGGTCGTCAGGTGAGCTCTGATGCGTTACTCAGCAACAATCAGCGTTGTACAAAGGATAAAACGGATTCTGTTTATTGAGGAATCAGCGCACGTAACTATGCAGAATTTTCTTTAAATCCTAACGTGTCAGAGCTTACAGGGAGAGATAAAACAGTAAATGTCTTATACTCTGATTTTCCATAAAATCATGCTTTGGTTTTTCTTTTCTTTTAGTTTCTACATCATACGTGAAGCTAAAACAGATGGGGCTGGAGTCAGAAGAAGTTGGAAAAAAAAACATAACATGCATGGAGATGAGAGAAGAGACAAATGCAGGATGAGAAGCAGATTGGGAGGGAGGTCCTGAGATGGAAAGAAACATTAACTTTTAATGTAGTTTTTTCAAGCAAGTGGATGGAGGGGGCAGGACGGGAGGAGGAGCCAGCCAACAGTGGTGGAGACAGCGAGGGAGGCAGGGAGGGAAGAGTGATGAAGGAGGGAAGCGTAGAGAGACAGAGGGTAGGGAGGGGAGAGTTAGTTGATGGTGAGAGGAAGGTGGAGAGGCTGTGTGTCGGGAAGAGGCAAGATTCAGCTCACTGAGCTGATCGTACACCCCTGGGTCGAATCATGGAACATGACGGTGAGTTTCCTCCTCGTATATGTATTCATAGATTTAAAAACAACTACTTCCCAATTTATGTTTATGTCCCTGAGTCTCTGTGGCTGTTTTAAGCTTTTGTTCACACAGAGAGAACACTTTTCCACCACTTCTTCCTCTTCTTCCCCCCCTCACATGCACAGCTTTGCATGTCACCTGTCTGGCAGTGGTTGCTTGACGTGTGTTTTTTTAGGTACGCGGAGTCTTTAAATCCCGACTCGTGAACCTGCTTGTGTACAGCCACCGTACTTATCTAATAATGATGACCATTCAGTTTTAAACGGGGGGCATGGTATGTCTTATGTGCACGTGATTCAGTATCGCTGCCTTTGATTGTCTTGCAGTATGAGCTGTTGTGAGAGTGTTTTGCCATTGCCATAGAGTGGCAGTCATCTGGCTGGAGCTTGTTCTTCTTGTTTTCCTTTATCTGGTGTCTTGATTTGGAATCTAAACTTAACACGCGTCAACAAAATCACACAGTAACACAGCATGTGCAGGTGGACTGATTGAAAGCAGCTACACACCGTGTAACCTTAGTTTCATGCACATGGTGCAAATAGAGGACAAAATAATATTTAAGATCTCTTATCAAGCCTTCTGTTGTGCTGTGAAAAAGAGCAGATTCGCTCGTGGCAATTTTATTAACAGATTCTTTGGCAAAGCTAAGTAGGCAATGAGGATTGTGTGCTGTAGTTCAAAGGGAATTATTGGTTTTTCAAGTCTGCTCACTCCTACATTACAGCATTGGAGTTTCTCATATGACTAAGAAAAACCACATCTAATGGCAGTTACTTTGTTATCAATAATTCTACCGAAGACAGGAAACTTAGTACGTCTAATTGTTCCTGTTGGGGTTGGCTGGTTGCCCGTTTGGGTGTGTTTGACTGAATGGGGATGGTACATCAGTGCACTGGTTAGCATATTTCTAAGTCATAGAAGGCAGGCAGGCTATATTAGGCTCATGTTATCTAATATAGTTTAATTACTGTTTGCAGAGGTTGTCATAGCATATCAGTGTGTGTAATAGGAAAAGCCTCTGTTGCGTCGTGTCAGTAAAGAAACCTAGTCAGTTTGGTCGGAGATTATTTATTAGCTTTGAAGCATCGGAGGGGGATGTGTCGTGGAAAGCTACTTCTTCATCAGTGCTGAAACACTTTTCTTTTTTGTTATTAGGAATAAACCATCAGTTCAGCATTAGTGTCAGTGAGGGATGTATAGAGCAGATATGGAACAGAAGAATGCAAAGTGAATTCCCAAAGATGTAATTAGCTGGGCGATTAGTCCCACCACGTGTGTTTTAAAGACTCAGGTCACCCCATGAATTGCAGTGAGACTGGACCTAAAAGAGAGATCAGCCTCATATTGGTTTCCACTGAAGACAACGGAAATGTCAGTATCTAAAAATAAAATAGCCAGTTAAGTATTTTTCCATCAGTTTAGTTAGTTAGTGGTCTGAGCTCTCAGGGTTCAAACTGTTTTCTCTCACATACCATAATGTGCTCTAATGGTCATCATTAGAGCACAAGGTTGGTTTTGTATTTAGGTGTTAATGAATGGAAGAAAATTGACCTGGTGTACTGTTTCTGCGTTATTATGACAGAATCATGTGGCAGACATTACACTATGACCTCAGGAAACTCTGCAGACCTGTACAGAGTGTTTTAAATACCTCTCTTTAAAGCACTTTGATCTTCTTCGGGTGGGAATTTGTCAAGTTCAGAGATGAGGGGGGCCAGCGTTTTGTGCACTTCATATGGCTGCCGTTGTAAATTTGTAAATCAGACTTTTGCAAGGCAAAGTAGCCACTGTGACTGTGCACACACACCTACGCATATGTGGCCTGCTTAATTTTGGGGTGATGTCATGCTGTTGTGTGCATTTTCTCAAACTGATGTTAAATGTATGCTTTGCATGTTGATTATCTGCCCATCGGTTACAGTGGAAGATGAACATGCTTGTGGAACTAATGTTTAAAAAAAAACAGGGGAGATGTCAGAGCTGACATATATATATAAACTTTATTTCTGTCAAATTGTAATATTCAATGCAAAGGCGAAACACAGAAATAATTTGTTTAAAACACATTCCTCTTGATCGCTATTGTTGGACGAGCAGATCTAATAGGGCACACCATGTGTTATTCTGATAATCCACTGAGACAATGATGTCAGCCCAAAACATCATGGCTCTTTAACCAAAATGTTTTGTTTTTTCGCAATAGTTGTTTTCTTTAAAATCTGTATTGGATTTTTTTTACCCTAAAATTAATGTGTCAGAAAAATACCTCCAAATCTCAAGCCAGAACGTTTGAGCCACATTCCCTTAAAACTGTCTTCAGGATGTCGGCAATAGCTAACGGGAGAGCGGCCAAAGCAACCTCCATCAACAACTGGGAGTTTACTTTCAAACAAACCAGGTTAAGACTCAGAGAGAAGTAAGGTCTTAAAAGCCGCACATGCACAACTGAGTGAACATGGCTGACCTGCTTAGGACAGCTGTTTTTGTAATTCTTAGTGTTTTTCTTATAAATCTACACGGAAACGACCATATATAGTTGAAAAATAAAGGTCCAGAGATGAATAATGGTTGATGTTTTTCTTTATTACACACCTCTAAAGCAATTGTGTTTTCTTTCATTACTAATATTCTACAGTTATTTGACATGTAGTCTATTTCAGTTGTTACTATTAAGTATACCCAGCCATCCAGAGTCAGTGCTGATCTTTTTTGTCCCTAGTTATCCATCTGTCTTACTTACTTTCCATCCATCTCTTGAGCTTGCTTCCTCTTAAGCTCTCTGACGGCCTGTCTGGCAGGACGTCAAATATTGATTTATTCAGGCAACATTTTAGCAGTGATGGCAGATTATGAGTTGTGCCGAACAGAATACAACAAACAGCAGATCAGATTTCAGACTAGATGGCTGGCGGAGAAATGGAGGAAAACAGTACAGTATTGTTACCGGTATATAATGAGACTGTAGAGTTAATATCATGAAGTACAAATGTTTTCAGGTGGACCTGTTAAGGCAAAAAGATTGATAAATTTGTCAATTTAAAACTGAAAACTGCATTTTCCCAGCAGATGGAGTTGTGTGTGGAGTTAGATTGTGCACTCAATAAGTATTGCATGGAATTGGGAGCAGTGATACGACTACCACCACTTAAACCATAAAGCAGAATTTGCATATGACAGTGTACCAATATGCTCACATAAAGCATGAAAACAAATCAAACTCCCCAGAGATATGATGAGATGTCACTGGGAACATTTATCCACAGCTCCTCTTGGGCCAGCTCTGTCGGTTACACAACAGAGCCTGTTTCTTGCTGAATCACACTTGACTGCTTTGACTATTTGCAATCCGAATCCCAATCCTGGCGTGGAAGTGTCTGAGTTTGCTTCGTCCTTACTTCAGAACAGAAAGTTCATCGCTGCAACTTGTGATGCTCAATCCATTTATACATAAACAGGAAGTGTGCAGCCACATTTAACTATTGAGGCTAAGGCGTGTTTAAGGTTGCTCTCTTTTTAAGACATCAACTGTATTATAAACAGTTTGAGTTATGTTTGACCGTGACAGTGCTGTGAGAATTACCATGGAAAAAAAGACAGTTTAATGAATAAGTCAAACAGAGGGGAGAAGCGCTCTGAAAAGAAGCACTTAAACAATTATTATCCCTTGTTCTGCTGAGGCTACTACTTAATATTTGATGACTCTCTTCCTTCCTTTTTGCCCTTCTCCTCCTTTACCTCTCCCGCCTCTCCTTTTGCTGTTCTGGTCATTGAAAGGTCAGATTGCCTCACTGCTTCTGTTATTTAGTGCCAGGACCAATAGCACCCATTTCCTAAAGACCATTACCCTGACGTGGAAATTCCGATACACAAATGGGTCTCTGACTGTGAATACAGTTTATTTCCAGAAATCCTTTTCTTTTTTACATTGCCTACTTGCACAGATTACCAGTAAAAGCCTCACATTGATCCAGGCTAAATCCAGAGGGAGCTTTTTCCTAGAGTTGATCAGTAATTGACACAAAAGGTAGAAAGCAGTGGGTAATGTTTTAGGCTGTCAGGAAGAGAGAAAGTTTTGCACAATGCAGAGACTTTCTATTGAAAAAAATCAGGTCAAATTGAAAGTTTCTTCTGCTTTTTTTTTTTTTATCCGCCTCCTCTGTCAAACCCAATAGTTTTTGTTGTGGCTTGAACATTTGTGGCTAGCAAAAGAACTCGCACGCGGATAAGCAAACAGTGATACCAACAACCTGATATCAATTTGCATGTTTAAGACCCACCACAAGTAGATACACACACGTGCTGGTGTGCTGCTGGTCTGAAGTGACATTTACAGAAAACAGAAAATACTTTTTGTATTATGACCTTGCTGTGTGTGTGTATTCCGCATTCTGTGTGCCAGTGTTTGGGAAGATATCATCAAATGACATGGTGGTGTATGTTTTTCAGACAAATAGAGAAGGATTGTAAAGTGGATGGAAAACTAAGGAGCTACTGCCTGCAGCTATAGGGACAAAGACCATAAAAAATATCAGAAAATACAAAAAAACATTAGTTAGAGAATATGTTAGCCAACACAGAATTCCACAATACAGACTGCATTTGAATATTTTAACCAGTCATAAAGTGTGTCAAACTTACCGTTTTGGTAAACGTCATAGATACTGCTGCCATGTTAACAGTGTTTTTCTCTCTCTGTGTTAGGAGCTCTGATTCTGAGTACCCCCCCCCCCTTCCATTCTGTTCACTAATGATACTCAGTGACACTCCCAGTCTGTGGTTGATGTGGGTTCTCCAACGTTGAACCTGTATTAAATGACAGAATGTGGTCCTACAAACAGAATTTGGCTCTCGGACAGTCAGTCAGTGATTTCATTAAAGTCAGGTGATTGTACCCAGAAGTGGTGAAGGAGGATTTGAACATTTCTGAGGGATCCAGCTAGACTGCTTAGCTTTGATTGCCTAATTTTTCGTCTACTTTCCTGAGCCAAATTGGTTTCACTGCTGGCTTTCTTCATAAATCTGTGGTAATAATGGATTTTTCTTCTGTGATTACATAAGTGAGGCTTTTGAGGCTTTTGTTCTCATATGTCTTTTTCTAATGGATAAAAACAACACAAGCATGAAAGGCCAGCTTTACTTAAGATAGACTATTTCTATATAAAATATATAGTAAAATATTTATGGGTGGCGGGTGGTTAGCACTGTCGCCTCACAGCATGAGGGTTCCTGGTTCAAGTCCCCGGAGGAACCAGGACCTTTCTGTGTGGGGTTCACATGTTCTCCCTGTGTCTGCGTGGGTTCTCTCTGGGTACTCCGGCTTCCTCCCACTGTCCAAAAACCTGCATGTAAGGTTGACTGGACACTCCTAATTGCCCCTTGGAGTGAATATTGTGTGTGGTTATTTGTCTCTGTGTGGCCCTGCAATGGACTGTCCCGCCTCTTACCTGTTGCCCCCCCCCCCCCCTCCCCCACGACCCCGTTGGGTAAGAGCGGTATAGTAAATGGATGGATCATCATATCATTACAAATTATTTAAAATCTGCCAGTTACCCTGAAGTCATTTGTGATGAACTTACACTAGATGGCAGTCTTGGCCAGATTAAAAATTATGTCAGTTTTACAACTTTCAGGAAAAAACTATTTTACTTTATTTCGCAGAAATAGATTTGAGAACGGAAAACAATGTCTATACTTATGCGTCATTACGAGAACAGTGTGGGTGGAAATAGATTATTAAAATTTATTTAATTTCAATGAAAAACAAATGCTGCAAGGTAGGGGATGATGTAAGAAAAGTAGAAGTTTTTGGTCACAGTCTCCAAAAATGTATGAAGTCGGTGTAATGTATTTGGAATCCAGCTGCGTGTATGTGTGTGTGTGCATGTATTTCCAGCTCACTTCTGTCAGGACACACTCTGTAAGGTCTCAACTGACACTCTGTTGACACTGATGGTGGTGAAAGGGCTTTCTCCCACACACACGTGCCCAAACGCATTAGTTTGCTCCAGAGCTGACAGCAAAATGAAGAAGTTGTTAGGTTAGTTTCCAACTGTGACCAGTCCCCACAGCTGGCAGCAATATATCTAATAATATATAAATAATAGTTGTGTGCCCTAACATCATGCTGACAAATTAGAAATGATTTGTCCCTCTTTTGGCCCACAGCTTGTTTCAGGCCTCTCCTGCCATTTGACAGATTGTCTCCATTGCAGACCTTACTGTACTGACACTCTTTTGGAGCCACAGACACTGTCCAGACTCTAAGCTCTTTTAGTCATTGTGCATAGAGAGCTTAATATGTGAAAACAAACTATCGGTGACTCTGAAAACTGGTGTGACTGCATTCATGGTGTCAAGAAAGCAGCAAACGCTACCAGTTAAACGCAATGCCATGCATATAACATATCCTGTATAACAGCTGTTTAATACACATAAGGGTACCCTATAAAACCCTTGAGAAACCCCTCAGTCATCAGGCCTTGCATCCGAGAAGACTGACTTTCTCCAAGTTTGGAAAAACTAAACAGTAGTTTGATCATTTATGGCTCCACCTACAGTTGTGAAACATCACTACACCGGACAAAGCTTTGTGAAGCCTGCAGATGTACCAGTACACATGTGGATTTATTGTTAAGTTGAAGGGGCCACAAGGACGCCACCAAAATCCCACAGAAATGTCAAGGAACTGCGAAGCATAATTGCGTGATGCCGGCCTGGGAAAGCGAAGCCGTGAAGGGGTGAGTCTCACATCCAAGGTGCAGACAAACTACATTCATCCCTCCTGCTTCCGCAAGATTTGAAGGGCTTTAGTCGCAGCCAGGCCCTTTTGATAAACACAATTGCAGTAACTGACGGATCTGATATGGATGTAGAAACTGTCAGATGTTTGAACACATTGCAGACTTTTCCAGGAAAAAGACATCCCTCACTAAAAATCCTGACAGTTTTTGCAAATGTGCATCTGAACATATATCAAAAGCTCTGGGCCAATGATCAATGTAAAAAAGACTATAGAAGAGATAATTAACTATAATACATTGAGCAATAAGTTAAAAAAAAAACATATCAGCACAAACACTTCACAGTAAATACGCTGCATAGTGGTGGAGGGTGATAATCTGAGCGTGTTTCACAGCTACATCATTCAGACGTCATACTGTCACTAAGTCAACTCCTCTGTACGGAAATGTTGAGTGTTCCATTTGAAGAACAGAGACAAGCTGTTACGGTGACGGAGTCAAACTCCTGACCTTCAAAAGACTAACATGGTGTGGTAGTACCATGAACCAGCTGTGAATGAATGAAAACCCACTAACCTACTCAGCACGGGGTTGTAAGACCGTGTGGGTTCAAATTCCCCCACACAGATGAAGAGACTGAAAACAATATACTGACAATCACTTGTAAAAAATCTGGTACAATTTTGAATGTTTTTTTTTGTTGAATATATGACACCATGTGTGAGGCTGTGTTTGATTTTTTTTAAGAACAGATAAGTGGCACATCATTTTCAGTGACCTCTGAGATGCATTGTTGTTTTATTTATATATCTTTACTTAATAAATCAATCAAAAAGTGAGGACAACATTTAATCCCTGTCTTGCTGATGGAAATCGGGGTCTTTTTATCGAACTGGCTTAATCTTTTATTCACCACAAACCTTCATCTTGGTGCATTTCCGGTTTAATGAGCCTACTCCATCATTTTTTTTTTTTGTCTCGACCTGTTTAAATAGCGGCTGGAGGTGTCAGAGCCGTCCACCCTGTGACCCCAGCAGCGCCTCTAATCTGCATAGAGGAATGAGAGGCATTTCTCAGCCGCTCACAGGAGGAGGAGGAGGAGGGCGGGGAAGTTACGACGTAGTAGCGAACCAGTCAGTCAGAGTGTCAACCAAGTTTCCAGCGCCCCAGACATCACAGCGTAAAACTTTTTCCCTTTGCAATGAACTCCCTCGGCGGCCGCGGACGGAGCTTATGCGGGAGTAGAAGACCGTGAAGGCGGGTTGGGGGGCCCCGGTCCGGCCCGGTGCTCGGTCTGAAATGGGTCAGACCGCGGTGTCCGCCGTGTCTCAGACAGCGAGCGGTGAGTGTGTATCTGCGTTTGTACAAGCGTGTGTACACGCACAATGTGAGTCTCCCTTCCTCTTGTCTGCCTCTCACACTCAATCCGCTATCTTTATCCAGGAAGTCAACCCCGTTTTTTTGTTATCTTTTGTTGAACTTTTTAACGGCAGTTCTCGGCACAGTTGGACGCGGGGAAAGCGCGAGGCTAAATGGTTTATGCTAATGGGACGTTAGCTAACTAGATGTGTGTTAAATCAATTCTGGCATCATTATACGCGGGGTGTGAGTTTCTAAATTTGTCGCGGGCTGTGCTACCCAGCTGCTGTAAAAGCTAGTCAAACAGCCAGTGTAAAAGCAGGCGACAGTGTTTTATAACCAAAGAGCTGTTTATAAGGCTGCATTGTTGCCGTTGGGTAATGAAGACTTTATGTATTCAGAAGCCAGTTTGACATGAGTCCAGAGGAGCTGGAGCACAGATTAGTTTAACTAGTTTGTTTCCCTGGCAGGGACGAGAGACTTAGGGCTGTACACAAGTGCTTTTACTGTCAGTACACTTTCTTAAAAATAAAATGAACAGTTTTTATTGTAGTGAATGAGTATATCTTTATCACATCAAACACAAATGAATGCCTAATACACTCAACACGTGGGCCCACTCAGCATTGGACATTAGATCTCTAATAACTGGTGTTTGAAAGTTGCATTGTTCATTAAGTTTAATTTCATCTTAGTACCAAAGCCAGTCACTAAAAGAGGCGATTCTCTGCCCGGGAGACCCCCAAGAGGTTTGTGAGATCATTTCTTGGTTTTGCCAGATGCTTGACTGGAAAAAGCAGAATAATATAATGAAACTAAAATAACATACTTGAGTCTGGGGAATGGTAATACATGTTGTCATAGTGGTCAGGATGACTAGCCCAGATTTTTAAAAGACTTAAAATGCACAAATTAGGGAGTGCCTAATTGGAGGAGGGGGGGGGGGGGTCTGCTAAATTTTAGTTGGGTGTGATGGTGGGAGTAGAAAAAGAGGGTGTAAACAGTGTGATGTGATTACTCTGCAAGGTTGAGATCTAATGACCTAAAGAAAGACTTTCCATTTGAAACGATCAATCATTTGGACCATGTGGTGATAGAAAAAAAAGTTGCAAGTGTTATCCCTGGTGTTTTTCATTTGACACAAAATGTGTGTCGAATAACTGAACCCCTCGTTTCGTGTTGTTTCAGTTTCATTGGACCACAAGTTACGAAGAGCATATATTAAAAAACTATTTTCTTTATGTTGCTTTACAAGCTTAATGTTGTCATTTGTAGTCAGTCGTCTGTTTGTGAGCCAGTAAAGTGAGCACGTCACAGTCATTCAGTTTTCAGAGGAGCGCTTTATGTCGTTGAGCTGCAGGAAAGGGATCCGTGACTCGGAATGAAAAGAAAACTGGACTTTTTTGTGACGTTGTCTCAGCAAAGAAAAACAAAACATCCACAATGTGATGTAACTCATTTCAGCTAAATGATTTGATGATTGAGAGCTGTATTACTTATCCACGTGCTCTGAGTGATTGTTGTGGTCTGCTTGAAAGTCGAATTCACAGTTCTTAGTAGAAGGGGAAGTATTGCTGTCATGGTATTGCCAAAAAATAATGGATGTAAAAGTGATATCCCCCTGACCTCCCTGCACACTAAAGGCTGTCAGGCCAAGGTTTCCTGATAGATTTCTTTTTCGGCTCTTTACATTGTCCAAACTATTAGCTAAGCCACGCTGTGATTCGGAAGAAATGACCCAAGTGTTAAAACCATTGCTAATGCCAAGCACTTCCCCTCCCTCTACTCTTGTCTAGCATCTCTTGCTGCTTCATCTTCAGATTTTTCCCCCCTTCCTTCCTGCCATCCTTTCCCACAATTTTTTTTTTCCCCACCACAGATCCCCGCTCCCATTCTTTCTCAGATTTTTCTTTCCTTTCAGCTGCCTCTTTTTGCGTCTTTTTTCGACCCCCTCCATCCCTCTTCCTTTGTTCGTGACGTCTACTTCTTCCCTCTCTGGTGATTTGCAGTGAAGGAAGGAAGCCTCTCCCTTTCCCCTCCTTCTCAGCACATGTTTCTGCTGTAACTTCTGCAAAAAAACATGCTGACTTTGTCACAATAAATCATCTTTACCCCTTAATATTGCACCACACGATGGCATACAATATCATTCAAAATGATAAAGAAAGGAGAACGGTTTGGACTGTTTACCCTGGCACAGCCAGCGAAATACTGATTTTAGGCTTACATGTATGTCTCGTGTTCCAGAAGTTGTGTTTCTGATTACCCCACCCCCAGCCACATCTGCTTTGTATTCAAATCCTGACTCACACCTCCAGTACGATTGTTACAGAATAAAACATCTCAATGTAATGAATAAAACATGTCAGAGTGTAATGATGGAGTCTAATCAGCAGTTGTAACATCTGAAGTTTAGGTGGATTTGAGCCACATTCGTCCATTTAAATACCTGTAATTCACATGATCGGAATTGTGTTTGGGTAAATGATTTTTTTAATTACTCTTTGTTGCAAAGGGACCAATGCTTCGTCACCACTTTTATAAAAAGCTAATTTACATGAAAATGCTGTTGTAACTGGTTGTCTACAGCACTGTGTATATGCAGATGTATTCATGTGAGTGGTTTAAATGTGCCATTGATGTAAAATAACCCCAAAAAGTCAAGAAATATGAGAAAAACTATGGATTGTTTATATTGATTTCTTGTTTTACCGTGCTAATACTATGGACCATCTTGCAGCTTCTAAATTTGGCTGTTATAAATTTGGATACAGGCCACCGGTAGTTTCAGACCTTCTCCTTAATGATAGTTTTGTATCACAGATAATAAGTTTCATTCAAAATTAAAGGGAGCATAGGTCTGTTTTACCTCTTTCTAATCCTATTCTCTTTTCTTTTTTTTTCTAAATAAACATGTTTTTTTTGTCTTTGAGATCAGAGCTTTTGAACATTGTCCTAATAGTGATAGTGAATTTCCCATCATTAATGGCACAAAGCAGCTACTAAAAAGCAGCCATTGTTGTGATTTGATATCAACACAGGAAAAGGAAATGAGTACGTGTGTGTTCTTGTTGTGTGTGAGAATGAGGCAGAGCTAGAGTTGCTGTCTGAGGACAGCATGAGCTCTGTTTTTTCCCATGTTTGTTCTTAATTACCATGTTTGGTTGTTTTTCTTTTTTTTCTGCAGTCTGTTGTACAGCATGTGAGCCGTCACAGTCAGAATGTGAGCAAAATCCAAATAAGAGGAATGATGCTTAAACAGCTGTTCTGTCATACTGTGATTTGTACTTTCCATTCTTAAACAAGAGGAACTTAGGCTGTTAATTGTACCCTCTTGTGTTGGATTTTAAAAAAAAAACTTTTTTTTTTTTTTTTTTTAAATTGTGGTTTATGAGACATTATTTTTTTTCACAATAATCCTAATTGATCCACTTTACATATTCTCCAGACCAATATTTACTTTAATTCCTGTGAAACTTTTTTTTTTTAAACATAAAACAAAACATTTAAAACATATCCAATAAGTTACTTTTTGGAATATCTGTCTTTAAAACTTCACCAATAGAAATTATTAATGTTAAATATTGTAGAAATAATTTATTTTTCTATTTGAAAGTCATCTCTGTACTCACTGTCAGTCCCTATGAACATTTGGTTGTGTGCATGTGCGGCTGCTCTTGCAATTACACAACATTGTGCATATATATATGCAAAATGAAGCATTGGATATGTAATGCAGATAGCTAATCATTAGCCACAATTTGTAAACAAGGTTTTAAGAATCCTTGCAAATAAATCAAACATGTTAGGCACTCATTTCTGCTTTGGCAGCCAGAGGCTTGACCTAGAAATCTTTAGATTTTCACCCATAATTGCTTAACTTTTTCTGGTCATTTGAGTATAAAATGACAATAGGGTGCAATAAAAAAAAGTTATCTTTACAGGCAGTAAAGAAACAGTTATGGACCGCATGACCCACAACTCTTAAACTTAAGATCGACTCCGCGTGATTCAGCTTTTTTTCTTTAACTTTTTTCGTCGAGCTGAGAAATCAAATGCCTTCCTGTGTTTGAATGAGGAATCACACATTACCTCTATCCTCTGTCAGCTTTCCACATGCAGTTCACAGGCCTTCTAATCTGCAGCAGGAAGAGGAGGAGCTGTGGAAAGACGGGGATCTTGCCAAGACACACAAAGAGAACACCACATAAGATAGATGATTGAATATATTCCCACTGTGCCTTCGAACGTCTCGTGACAGAGTATTTAAAACACATTAGGATGACACATTTTGATTTTTGCCCCGATACATGCTAACAGAAATTAGTTGTTGTTGTATATGTCGAAAACAATTGGTTGATATGTTTGGATGACAAATTCAAGTTATTTACTTAATAAATTGATTTATTTAAAATAAATGAATAAATCAATAAATAGAGTGCCCTTCTCTTTTAGGATTAAGTGCTGGTGTACAGCCGGTTCTAAATGATTAGAGTCGGTCAGTCAGTGGAAAGAAAGAATCTTCCTAGAGCGGTGACTTATGGGGGAGGAGGTCAAGCAGTTGTATTACTGTGAAGGCCCTGGCCACTCCAACAAAAGCGGGGTCTCACCTTCTCAGATTGTAGGAGTCAAGTATTATGTTTTGAAGTAAATCTTCCTTTTTCTTTTTTTTGTAAAGTTACCCTTCAATTTGACATTTTGATGGGATATAGCTGACCTGCATAACCAGTGCTGTTGAGGCTTGTTTTGGGATGCTGATTTTGATGTTTGTGTTTACACATTTGTGCATTCTAGTCGATGGCCTGGAGAAATCTTCTGTGGCCGGCTGTGATGTGGTGGTGGACAATGCCAGCAACACACAGAATGCCCACACATCACGACAGCAGCGAGGCAAGCTGTCATCTCTGGGAAAACTGTTCAAACCCTGGAAGTGGAGAAAGAAGAAGACCAGTGACAAGTTCCAGGATCTCTCTAAAGGTAGGATGTGTGTGGCTGACACTCTATGTACGAATTGATGAGTAGCTGCTGATCTGCAGTCCTCAATCAGGTGTCTGGAAAGTGTCACAACGTGCACTTTTGGGTGTGTGTAGAACAGAAAGTACGAAGAGGAGCCGTGCAGCTCCTGGAAGAGCTTTAAAAGGAAAACACTGAACATCTTGTTTGTAGCTCTTCCTGATTCATTCCCTACCTGTTGTCCAGGAAATAAAAAGAGACAAATGTAAACACAAAAACCAGAGGTTTTACCTGATGGCAGGCAAGTTTTATCTTTTGCTTACGTAGTATCTGGATGTTAAGTTTGTACCTCCATGTCCCTCCAGTTTGTTTCAGGATAGTTCCTTAGATAGTGCCATGATTATTATATTACTCTCCCTCATGCTAGGTTTATTTATTCCATTTGCTGAAGGTCAAGGGCAGCAATGAAAACTGATAAGGGTCAGCGACTGATGTTTTTATGGGTTTTTGTGGGGATTTTAAGCAGCATTATATGTCAATCTGAATATATAATGAGCTTTAATACAGCTCCAAAATACTATTGGCGGTATGGACATTAAAAGCTACTAACCAGTGAGTGCCCTCTCTTTCCCTCTGTGTGTATCAGAGTAGATTGTGTATAGCACTTCTGAGTTCATGCCATGCTGTACTGAGTGAGTAAGCATTCTTTTTGCCTCCTGTAAATAAACCAAGTTACTGAAGTAAAACAACCTCCCACAAAGGGAGAGATAAGACTAACGCCCGTTTTGCTGTGCTCTTCAAAATATAGATGGGTTTAGCTTTCAGTTTGGTTCTGAATTTCTGCCCCTCTAGTGTGAAACTATATGGTTTTCTTAGATATTATGGTTTAGGATCAATTGTTACAAAGACTTTTTGTTTCCTGCCGAAAATGATGTGAAAGTCCACCAATCGCTCCACCATTGACCTCATTTGTCTGTTTTTCCCCATCTTTTGTCTTTCACTTTTTTTGGTCATAGTTATTTATTTTTTTATGAATAGTTGGAGGAGTAGTAGTTATTGTATTAGATGAGTTCTGATCATTCTCAGATCAGGCGATTCCCCTCTGCATTCCAGCTTCTAGCTTCTGCTTGGTTTGTAACTGGTGTGTTTTACAAATGGAATTGGAAATTGAAAATGAAGACGGCAAATTGTTTCCCGTTGTAAAGAGCTTTTAGAAGTAAACATCAGTTAGTTGACAGGGCAATGACCAAGTGAGCTCCTCTTCTGCAGCGTGCTGTCCAGGGTGGAGGCAGCAGTGATGTTTTTGGTCATTTGCAGGAGACCATGGCTATTGCTCAGTGCTTTGGCATACACCTGTATAAATTATTGCCTGAAGCTAAAAGGTTAAAGGACCGGAGAACATTTTCTAACTTATTTGTACATGCACCTTTATCCTATAATTTATTTAGTTCTTGAGAGGAAAATCTCCACCAGACAAACAAGGGAGGAGCTCATCAGAAAAGGAGTTCTCATCCCTGAACAAGGTTTGTCTGATTTATACTTTTTTTTTTTTTTTTTTTTTTTTTTTTTTTTTTTCACTTGACTTTTTTTTCCTCCACACCATTTCATTTTCACAATGTCTTGTCATTAATCAAGCTTTCGGGAGGCATTTAGGTTATTAATCAAACCGCAAAAGCTGCGAGGCACTGAGATTTTAGAAGAAAGGAGAGCCAAAGTTCAAATGTAATGGATTTTATAACGGATGCAAACATGAACATGAATGTTTTGTTTTTTTGTTGTCTCACCCAGATGAACCAATCAGTAGTGAGAATCTTAACGGCCACGCAACGTCCAGTTTGACAGCAGAGGAGGTCAAAGTGGACATTGAGTCTCCAGAAACGGTGCTAGAGGAAGATGCCTCTGGGCCAGTGAGCACTGAGGAGAAAACAGGTACCATTAGATCTGCTGCTGGGCTTCTTTTGTTATACGGGATCTGTAGTTCATTTCTAATCACTGATATCTTTACAATTTGAATTCTTTTACCATTTCGAGTTGGAGACCTGTCCTATACTTGGATGAAGAGATTATTCAATTCATTTGGTGTTCGTTTTTTTCCTGACATTTCATATCATGATTCTAGGCTTTCTGTTAAGAAGAGTTTAACAAAATGATTAGAAACACATTAAAGGAATTACAGCTGTATATTTAGACGGAGTAATTTTAACAGGCTATAAATGAACTCAAAAGCGTGGAAAGCAGTGTCACTGTCAGTTATTCAGTAGTTGAGGACAAGATACAGATGACGGGAGTAGAAAGAAATAAAAAATGTCAAAGAGCTCTTCTTTTGAGGGAAATTCCAGCCAAATATGGGACCTTTTTAAGGAGTTGATAAGGTACATCACTGCTTTCTGAGAGTTTGCTTTTGTTTGACCTTGTTTGAAAAAGCATCCAAGAAAGGCAAGCAAGATGGAAAATAGATCGTAGTTTGAGCATCATCAACCTTCTGTCACACATGGGCTTGGGCATGATTGTGTGTGGGGGTTATTCTCTTTTCAGCATCATTTTCATTCCACTTCTAAAATGTAGGATATAGTCAGCTAATGCAGTTGTGTTATTTATAAATGGGGAACTCTAACAACCCTTTAGCAGCTCGATTTAAAAAAAAAAAAAAAAAAAAAAAAAAAAAAAAAAAACAATAACTTTTATATTGCAGCTTTTTTTAGATGCTTCCTTCAAGGCCATTCAGTGCATTTGTTTTCTGTAGCAGTTTTTTTGGCTGACGCTGAACTCTCTTAGGGATCTATGAGCCAGTCTAATGCGCTCAAATAGATATTCCCATTACATCAGCCTTCAGAGGGCTTCACAATCTGAACAGATCATCATCTCCTTCTCCTAATGCTTCCCACTCTCTCAGGAGACAGACCACAGCTCTTCTGCCTGATGCAGCTTTAGTGTTGTGCTGTTTTCATCTCAACCCTGTTAGCATCGAACTTCAGGCAATTTGTTTGTCAATAGTCAGAAAGGCAAAGGTAGCACACTTCTCAAATACAGCAGCATGCATAACTTAACACTAGTGGTTGGGGATCCTAATGGGTGTGTATCATACATCAAAGTCTTTTGAAACTCAGCAGTTGCAACCACCTCTGCCCAACTTCCTCTTTGTCTTTCACTATCTCATGTGTCTGCATGTCTGCATTGTCCATTTCTGCAACTGTCGGCTGCTCTTATCCTTCTTGCTGTGATCTGTTTAGATAGATGTGATAAACCAACTAAACCAACATCTCGGGCAAACCAAGTGCGACCTCGGGACACTCAAGATAAAAAGCAGCAAAGCAGCAGTCTGCCTGCCAGTACCAAAACTGCTGGTGGCACAACCACCACAACAAGGCACAAAGATGGTGCCTCAGGGGCTAAAAATACATCCAAATCTACAGGCAAGGCCAGCTCATCCACACAGGCTAAAGCTCACTCAAGGCACACTAACACCACTAGTCGAGGGACTGGTAAGTTCGGTCAGCTGAGGCAAAAGCCTGTCAGCCTGTCAATGTTTTTGCCTCCCTCCCTGCATGGAAAGCGCGCTTTACTGCTATTTGCAGGGAAGTATGGACCGCTATACAGCCATCTGTACCTGTACACATTATGGGCTGTCATGTGCACGTCAAGTGGCAACAGGCGTGCACATCTCCCACTTCAGCTGCCTCAATAGTGTTCTTTCAACTGTGTTCTGAGAATGCAGAAGTGAAACTTGATTTGTCTCTGTAAATATTTCCATAAAACAAGAAGTGTGTGTTAAGATGGGGAAGGGGTATCTGTGTATGGAAGATCCATGTTGCATGACCTTTTCATAAAATGGTTCATTTGCGATGGCACGATTTTTTTTGTGCATGCTCATCATCTCTTCATTGTGGTTAAATGATCTTACTCCCTTAGTAATAGAGCAATCTATACAATAATGATTGCTGATAGCAGGTGCCAATTTAAAAAGTCAATTTTGATATTGGATTAGAAAAGTGAAAACTTTACTTATTTTGTATCCTTTAAGTATATGGTGGTGTTTGTTCAGGCTACTTGGTTCTTGTAGAAACATTCAATCTTTTATACATGTAAACTGGCTAAGATGCACACAGTTGTGACACATCCCAGAAGAACTTTGGATAACAACTCTTATAAAACAGGTCACATGATGCTTTTGGGATTTAGTGTGTCGTATACAATGGGAATATAAATGGCCTGCAGAAGTGCAGTGCCCAAAGTCCGGGTCAAATGTTTAGTTTGACTTAATATTTTTTACACAAATGAGTCACTGACTCCAAATCTGACATTTTTGACCAATCGGAGTGAGACAAATGATGGAGCAGCTTAGTGATGATGGGGAAATCAATGTCCCTCAAAGGTGGATAACTCCTGGTTCAAATGTTTCTCTGGTTTCACTACAATTTTTCCCTGTGATCTGGTCTCCACGGCCAGTTAAATAACACGAGATGTATACAGCAGTTCCAAGGACTTTGACTACTTTTTTGTTTCAGTCACATCACAACACTACAGTGTCTGCTTTGTTTAGGTTTTTATATGACAGATTTGTTTTATGTTTTGTTACAGATATTTTCTCTTTCTTGTAATGGTACAATGTAACATTGCACTGGTTAGGTCAAACGATTGCTCTACCTGGAGTTTTTCTTTGCAGCTGCTTCACAGATGGTTCAGCTCTCACTAAGACAACTTTTACTCTGAAGTAAGAAATGAGAATACCCCATAAATAGTCAATTAACTACAGTTCCTGCAATGCAGATACAAAAAGGAGAATGTCCTTCTATACTTTCAACAATCTTGAGAATGTTCCTGTAGTCTGAAAGAAATAATTAAATAACTGAGTGTGAGCTTGTCTAATAGACAGATGTTTTTTGCATCTGTCAGGGATTTGGAGCAAGCATGAATTGGTTCCCCAGTTCAGGAATTTTATAGAAAATTACCACGTGATGAGAGAAACTACAGCTATTCACTGTATGAGCAGAAAGGGATGTTTTTAAAACTTTAAATAGTTTAAACATAGTCTATCAAACCATACCAAACATTCCTGATAGAAAGTCTACATTTATTGGTTTGGAAGGTTGTTTGTCTTTTATATGTAGTTTTATTTGAGGGTTTATAATTGTGTAAGTGGTTCGCTTTACGGCTGCAGCACAACTTCTTTTATGATGCTTCAAAGAATGTATTTTCCCTGAGTCTGTGATTTTTATTGCATGTTAAAAACTGCCAGGCTGCTGTCGGTCAAACATATATGAGCATGCTGAATCCTACTGCATGATGCCTTCAGAGATCTTTTTAGTTTGCTTTCCAGTATATCTGCAAAAAGATACTTAAATGTGTTGTTGTACTTTGTACCTGTAGACGGAACGGCATTCATGCTTTCACATGTACCGCTACATTAGCCCATGCAATCTCCTTTAAGACTTTCTATTCGCTTCCTTTTCACATTTTCTTTTTCTGCATATCTCTTCAGCCAAATCCTCTCATCCAAAGAAGACGGGATGCACAACAAAAACCACCTCCACACCTCGTTCTCGTGTACCTAAGGATGCTATCAAACCTGCACAATCTGATGGGAAAGATGTGAAGAAAAACCGGAAATCAGACACTCCAGCACCTTCAACTGTACCACAGAAAACCGCCACAGAGACTCCAAGTCAGCCTGGAGAGTTAAAATCCACCCCACTTTCCTCAGGCAATGAAACAGAAGGAACACAAGTGCTTTCAACACCAGATCCAGAGCCGAAACCTGCTCCCAATGGCTCAAATGCGGTTGAGGAAACTCGCAAAGATTTGCCTCCTGAAACCACAGTCCAGTCTTCCCATATCAACATGTCTACAGAAGAAACATCCTTCACAGAGGGAGAGACGAATAGCAGCTCACAGGGGGAGAAACGGAGGATAGATGTGAAGGAAGGGGGAGATGGAAAGAAGAAAGAAGGAACAGAGTGTGGAGCAGAGAGCACCCCGAGGTAACACTCTCTATCTTCCTTTCTGTAACTTGGTTTCATAGCTCATTACAGCAAAGTCTAATGGAAACTCGCAGCCATTAGTCTCATCAGAAATACATTTATTCCTAATTTTGAGCATGAAGATAAACATTTGCATTTTTTGGCCGAAGCTTGACAAACTTCAGTGTGTTTCATTTTCCCAAAGGAATGTGCTCACACCGTCCTGTTACTGATCCCTGCAGGTCAGCAGAGGGCGAAGCAGAAAAGTCGCAGCGCCTCAGTGTGAAAACGGATCAGGCCGAGGTGACTGTTATCCCCGATGTACCCAGAGACACCCAGACTAGTGACTCTGATTCTGACGGACCCATCCTGTACCGGGATGAGGATGAAGAGGAGGAGGAAGATGAATATACGAACAGTACGGCTTTCTTCTTTTTTTTTTTTTCTCACCAGTTGTTACTGAACAGTTATTACTGTTTCAAACGTGTTGAAAAGTGTACTGTAGAATATGTCTTTGAAAACCTCAAAAGGTTTACAGGACGATAAACAAACAGTAAGAACATTTATAAAATGGCTTAGTACGTCTGGTTGAAGATGCTGTGTTTTGCAACATTCCCCTGCACAGAGTCTCCTCATAAGCTAAACAGTTTAACAAACTAATGGAGGCTTCTCGTGCCAACACAAATCAACTTTAAGCATCTTCCATCCTGATAAAGTTTCATGCACGGTTTGAAGTTGTGTATATAAATATTAATACAGCTGAATTCCCTATAATCACTTTATTTCTTTTGTGACAGAAAATTAGACTAAAACAACGTGTCGTCTCTTAAGCATTTTTAGGCAGTCGTTATGCTCTGATTAAACCCTGATTGTTGTAGTTGTTTTCATCTCTTACAATAGCCATACAAGTAACTTAAAGACGATTGGCAGTGAATTCAGCTACAGTTCCATGTATGAGGATGTCCCAGAGAAAGCTAGAAGCACCAGATTGTTTTCTTTCACAGTCTGCAGTGTGACAGCGTTTGACATACTTTGATTAACAAACTGATTATGCAGCCATGAATGCACCCTGGAACAAAGATGTCGATCGAGTGAAATGGCCCCCCAGCCGCATCCATACTGACAGACATTAAGTGATTTTATTCAGAAGAAACTGTTTAGATGGTTTAAGTAGCTTCAACTGGCATAACCTGTACCACGCCCAGTGTATCAATGATTTACTTTATAAATAGTTCATCTTTTTCTATCTTGTATTTTATTTAAATTAGATTTTGTGTTTGTTTGTTTCACAGCCTTAAGAGTCCTTCCTCTAATGATGCCTTTTAAAATCTGTTTTAGGCTCTTTAGCCATCAAGATCCGCCGGCGAGACACTCTGAACATTAAGCTTGGCAACAGACCCAGCAAGAAAGAGCTGGAGGAGAAAAACATTCTGCCGCGGAGCTCCGAGACTGAGAGACATGAGCTCCGTCAGCAGATAGGCAGCAAACTAGTCAGGTGGAAGAACACCCACACACACACACACACACACACACACACACACACACACACACACACACACACACACGCGTAAACAAGTGGAAACTTGTGTAGGTGTTACTTGTTATCGCAAGTTCCAACTGAGGGGTAATAACAGATTGTTATTTTTTTAAATAATTGTTATCAGATGTAGTTGTGGTATTGTATTATTCTTATTAACAACAAGAGGCAATAAACCAATCGTAACTGATGACTCGATCTCTTCTGTTGATTCTCCTTGCTGAGCTGACAAAAATATATTTTTTGTATCTCCTCCTTTTGTTTTAGGCGCCTGAGCCAAAGACCCACCACAGAGGAGCTGGAGCAGAGAAACATCCTCAAGCGTGAGTTTCTGGAGTGTGTTTAGATGTTAGCAGACATGTTGTTGCATGACAAATCTTTACATGCTTTCATGCAGCATTTGTGTTTTAAGTTCAGTTTTTGTGAGTCCAATATGTATTTTTAGAATATTTATTTTTTTCTTGCCATTTGGAATGTGGGCATAAGGAAACTGATGTTGAGGTTCAGTTGTTCAGCCTTTAGTGTCAAGCTGCAGATCCTCAGGTTCAGCTTCATGCGTGCCATTAAATTAATGGGCAGGACAGATATGGCAATTTACTTTCTGTGTTGCTGTCTATCAAGGCGTTTGACTTTCCCACAACTGTGCGATGCATTCAGCCGCTCACTTTAAATAGGCCTGCCTTTTTCCTCTTCTGGTCTCATTATACCACAGTGATAAGTTTACCTCACATAGACACACAGAGCACCTGTTCTGAAAACAAAATAGATATAGTTCATGGCAAATAGAGAATTTTTTGAGCATTAGTTTTGCTGTTAGTCTAACAAAAGCTCCCTCTCATTCTATTTGCAAAATGTTTTTCTCCAAAGTGGAAAACCAGCTAACAGACTAGTCTTGGCCTCCGATGTATCAGTTTAGACTCATAAAACTATTTGTCACCCAAATATAATCCAGTTCATACTGCAAAGGATATATGCATGCCGGTTACAGCTACATTTTGGCATATCTTGTTTTGTTTTTTCAGCTTGCCTCAATTTGGCAAATCTCACAGTGCATATCAGAACCAGGTTGTAGATGTAATTGATGTGAAGTGACTTTCTGATTCTCTACATGCAGAAAAGAATGAAGCAGAAGAACAAGAAGCCAAGCAAGAGATTAAAAGAAGACTTTCCAGAAAGGTACTGTAAACACTAACCACACAAATACACACACAGATCAGTAGGGACACAGAGAGTCTATATTTAGCTGTTTATATGTCTTGCTCCACCTTATGAGTCATGGAAGGAAGCAGGAAGGGCCTCATGTTGAGGAATAAGCCCATCTAGTGGATACAGACGGAAGTGACACTTGTCTCATGAGATACAAAGTTGTATGCTTGTTTCTGAGTTTTTAACACAATGGAACAAAATAGCAAATATGATGAATACTTTATATCCCTTATATGAGGGATACTTTGTGTTTGGATAAATCTTCCTCCGGTGTTTTTGTTTGTAGCTGAGTGTGAGGCCGACAGTAGCAGAACTTGTTGCTCGGAGGATCTTGCGCTTCAATGAGTATGTGGAAGTAACGGACGCCAAGGATTACGACCGTCGGGCAGACAAGCCCTGGACACGCCTCACCCCTGCTGACAAGGTACAGCTGCATTTGTCTTTGAGTAAAGACATGTTATTTAAGCAGCAGAGTCATTTTATCATAAGAAACACAGCAGGGTAATTAGTATATAGAACATGGTCATCATATTCATTAATGTCCCATAAGGGAAAGCAACCTGCTTTTGTCACAGCAAAGGACTTGCAAAACATTTGGATCATTAATGCAGGACTTTGATCCCACAACAAGAAATGAGCCAGACTTTGATTATCTCTCTGCAACTTGTGATGCCTATCTAGGTCAGGGGTCTGGTCTAAAAGTCTAAAAAGTCTAAAAAGGCTGTAATAAAAAAAAAGGTAATTTACAATTACAAAGATTTTTAATTGATGACTGTATCTTATTATCAGTCAAGAGTAATTTTAGACATTAAGCAATCCAACAACAGAACAAAAAACAAAACGCCAAACAATGCTCCTCTGTGTAATATAGATGCAGACATATTGTTAGAAATTGCTCATTCCTGTTGCAAGAGTATACGAGTTTGTGCCGAAAAGCCTAGTGTCAGCAAATATGTCATCGTACGTATGTCATCATGCATGTACAGCACACAGCCCCCCAAAGAGGCAGCTCTGCTTTTGATTGGAAATATGAAAATTCTATAATGTTTCTGCTGGAGTGATGTGTTGGAAATGTGTTTTCTCATGGATGGAAAGAAGAACCAACATGTCACAACTCATTTATTCTTTGACCTTTTTTAATAAAATGCAGCTCAAGACCAGAATTTTCAATTTAATTCCCTTTTTTTAAATGCTGTTTTGTATGCTTCTTGATGCAGAGGGGATTTCCTCAAATGGAAATATGATATGTATACATAAATATCGATTGGAGGAATTACAACAGTTCTATCTACTATTATTATATTTATTGGAAAAAATAAACAAAATAGACTAAATATAAGATAAACTTAATTAGAACATAAAACCCCGGAACATGGGCCAGGACATAGCCGTTTGATTTTAATGTCTATATCTAGATTTGTAAATATTTCACATAAGCAGCACAAAAAATGCTGCTTATGCAGCACTTCAGAGCTTTGGGAGCTTCATATGGGACCTGGTTTGGAAGTTAACAGGGATCTCAGCAGGAAGGACCTTGTACTCACAGCTTGGTCTTTGTGATTTGTGGAAATGTTATCCTTCCTTGACTCGTTTGTTTCTGCTCTGCCCCGCAGGCTGCTATCCGTAAGGAGCTGAATGAGTTTAAAAGCCGAGAGATGGAGGTTCATGAAGACAGCAAACACTTCACCAGGTACTCTCACGGTCGATGGTTTTCACCATTTAATCTGACCCTGAGGCTTCATTAAGGATTAATCACAGTAAATCCTGCCCTTTATTAGCTCTCACTATGTGTCATGCTGTTCTGGTGTGGCTTTTCCTGTTATCCTGCTAAAGCCACCACTCTTGGGCAGTGAGTGCCCATAAAATTCAGTTTTTTACTACCAAATGTTACTTGATCCATGTGAAATTAATTTAATGTATGGTGGCTACAATTAAGAGTGACTGTACCTTTTAAAAGCAGGCACAATCGCCCCAGATACCGCACAATGCATATAAAACATTTCTTCATTTGTTTTTATTTTCATCTTTCGTTGGGGAAAGTCAGGTCTACCTGTCATTTTTCATAATTTAGTTTAAATCTTTGCAGAAGGTCAAGAATAGTCATTAAGATAATTGCCTGATGACAGTTTTAGAGCTTAACTCCATAAAACCTCAGGCTCTTCAAACATTAATAGCCCATGGCTCCTCTAAGCAGCTGAAACTTAAAGTGAAGATAATGAGCTGCAGAGCCGTAAAAACACGTGAAAGTTGTTTTCAGCCTCCACTGTCTGAAAGGTCAATGAGAAATCATACTCAAATAGAGATGTTAAAAGTAAATAAAGTCGTAATAAAATGCTGAGATAAAGCTGCACATCTGCCGAGCAAAAAGCTAAAGCAGCCGTTTGACTGCTCTGCATCAATCAGGAAAAGCAGCCATCTGGAGAAAACCTGCCACAAAGGCATTCTTTACAAGAGCAGACATTGGAAATAAAAGACAACAAAAGTGAGTTAAAGAAGACAGATTCCAAACCTAAAGGAGACTCACTTAATTCCTGATTACATCCATTTCACATCAGAATAGACAACCAAAATTGCAAAAAATTCCAGCTCCTTACATTGTCTCTATTGTGGTACCTCCTTAACAGGTAATACCTCTGCAGAGACTTGATGTCTTGGCTGAATGCATTTCAGCTCTGGACTAGCTTTCCCATTTGTTCTGTGTTATTGCTAGTTGAATGCACTGCTTTCACAAAAATGAAATAAAATGTATTGGTTCTTCGGTCAGAGAATAGTGACAAAGCTTAAACTCAGCCCTCACAGTGAAGTCCAGTGCTGATGTTCTGGTATATTTATCCCGTTTTTTAGAAGCCATCTTCTTTGGTTTGTAACATCATGACACCGAGCCTAATTCTCTTCCCGGTTCTGTTTTTTCTCATGACTTTTGATGGTCGCTTTTGTTCAGGTGTTGCTGCTGATTATTCCTGCCTTTTGCAGTCACTCAGGTTTAGTTTTATAGTGGCCTCAAGCTCACCTGAACAATTTACTGCCTCTGTCATTAGATTACAGAGTGTAAAAGTGCCTGACAATGATTTAAATCTCCTAATACCCTTCCGGCTTTTTTATCCGTCTCAGGGTACATTAGGGATGTCTATGGTTGCTGATTGGGTTAACGATATTGAAAGAGCCAAGAGTTTTAAAATCTTTTACATTTCCCTCACCATTGACAGCCATTGTAAGATGTTTCAGAATGAGACTGTATGGTATGCTGGTATTTTCACGTTTGTAACATCTGTTCTAACCCTAACCCTCCTTGAATTAATTCTAACCAGACTTGGCATGTTTGTGATTTCAGGTTCCATCGGCCATAAATGCTCTTACTTCTACTTCAACCTGGAGAATCCCAGCATCTCCCAGCCCTCCACAGCTTCACTTCCGTCACTGTGGAATCCAGCTGACCCTTTTTCCTCATTAACAGGAACTTTGGCCTGTCTTAGCGAGAAAAGTTCAGATGTTGAGGATCACAATAGAACATGGCTGCAATTGGTGTAGTTGGGTTACTTTCAGTGTTAGCTAGCAGTCATAGGTCAGTGGGACATTTGACAGAGCCGAGCCATTGTTGCGGAAATTTGCCTCTGCTGAGCTTTTCCTGCTGTGGCACTTCAAAATGTTCCATGTGAAGTAGTTCTGTTGCTCCTGATGAAACATATTTATGTCTATGATGACAGCTACAAGTGTGTCTTAAGGCCATGGCCATTTGAAGGCACCCGTGAAACATTTGCACATATCTGTCCTTAAAACAGTGCTGGTTTGGATTATTTATTGTTGACTCGGAAGTGGTTGGTATTTTTGTCGTCGTGTTTTAATTACTTTCAGGCCTTGTGATGAGAAGTCGCATGGTGGATACAAAAAGCAACGTTACCTTTTATAGTTTTGATGTGACTTGTGTACCATGGATTTTGTCTACTTGCCAAGCATGCCTTGTCATGACATGGACTAATGGCCATATATGGGCATCCAGCTATAACAGGAAACGAGGATGATTGGGTGGTTTCGTGATGTCAGTGCCTATGTCACAGATCAGTCTGGTGGAGGAGCAGTTAGCTTTGCTCTGATGTGCCTCTCGGAGTTGAATTATAGAAAGTGCAGTGAGTATTTTAGATAGACTTAAGTGATATTGCCACTAGAGGGCAGCATATCACAACGCTTACAGATGAGGCCGCGTTTAGAACTTGGAAGTGAACGACTTCTAAAGCTGAGATAATAACGAGCAGCTGAGGCTCAAACAGTGACATGCAGCGAAGTTCCCTTCCTCTCCCGGTTGTACAGGAGGACACACACCTGTCTTGCAGCAAGCGTACAAAACCTCTGTTCTGGTTAGAGGATCCATGTTTTAACGGCAGTTTGTAACCGAAGTCATTTGGCAGGGTCCTCTCACACAGAGTACTTGATGCCAAAGAACAAACAGGGATTTAATGGTAGGTTGCTTTACTTAATTAGAAACTTACAGCTTTGATTTAACTGGCAGTCGGCACAAAAAGGTTTTATCAGTCGTTTAAACGTACGAGTTTCTCCACTAAAACAGTCTGCTGTAAGGCAGGAGCACTTCAATTCCCTGAATGTGCTTTTGAAATGCAGGCAGGTCAGTTAGGCTTAAAGGAAAATGAAAAACAACGAATGTTTACCAAAGTGGTGTAATCTTTAGCTTTTGTTATTTGCACCACCACAGGATTCCTGCGCTTTTTACATTTCAGCCTAACATGCACATTGATTCCAGCATGTTAGTCTGTTTTTATCAACCAATTCAGTCTCTACTATTAGTCTGGACATGCACAGGAAGTTAATCTGTGCCTATTACTGATTATACTGATCCGATATATAGTGTTTACGCTGGAGAAAGACAAAAAATCTGAACGGGTTTTTACTTTTAGGCATAAAATGGTTGCAAAGTGACACAGTGGAGGCTTGTTTTTTTAATACAAAGTAAATATATTTTATGATTGGCTTATAACATTTTTTAGATGGTTCTTTAATGGGTTCATATCATTTTTACCTTTAAGTCCTCCATTGAGATTAAATCCAATTACTCAAGATGCATGTTAATGAAGTATGTGAAGAATCTTAAATTAACATGTTCTCTTTCTGTGACGGCAGAATTACTCATCCACAAGAATGTAGAAGTCTTCTGATCAGTGGATTATTACAGTTTGAACTCTCCCACCTCCAAAAGCCCATGTTCCTTATTTTCAGAGCCCCAACCTCTGCGAACAGTGATCATTCTTACAGACAGTAACTGAAAAGGACAGATATTCTTTCTGCTTCTGAATGTGAGGGGGTTGTAAACTAAAACAATGTACAGTAATGGAAAATAACAAACAGTATTCATTCCTGTCTATGCTGTTATATATTGATTATTTTGTACAGACTGTATATCAAGCATGTGCATACAATGAAATCAGTTTTACTGCAAATATGATACAATACATCGTTGTGAATGTTTTAAGTTCTAATGTTAGTTGTCTTGTTTTGAATTCATGTACTGATTGAAACATGAGGAGTAAAGCTATGATAAAAATATTAGCCATCAATTTAAGCACAGTCCAGACCAGACATGTTCCAGAGAGAACAGCTTTCCCCATTTGTTTTCTCTTTAGTGTAACAGCTTTTTCTTATACATATTTTCTACCTCCTGTTCAGAGGTGTTTTTAATGTATTTTCTTTTAATATGCCCAAATTTGAATGTGTTTGTGATCACAAACAACCTGCTTAGGCCGGGAGGAAGAGGACTGTGATCCCTTTCAGTCGGGCTGAGAGCGGCCCCAGCACACCCACAGAAAGTAGTAGTAGTAGTCTTCCTGGTTGTCTGACAACAACAAATGATGAAAAAACACAAAAACATTCATTTAGTTAAAGCACAAGTTTAGCATTCACAAACAGGATGTTTTCAGAATATCATCAACCAGGGGAGTCGGTGTGGGATGCATCTACAATAGCTGATCTCTACTCTCTGTTGGCAGTCTTTCATCAGAGCAGAAGGTACAAGCGGATACTTTAAAATTGTCTTAACATTTGCCTTTAATCAAATTCTGTTTTATAAATTTGTAAATAAATACAGGGATATAAATAAACTGTTTCTGAATTAGAAACTCTACTCATAATCAGTCCAGTTGTGATAGTCCTAGAAGATATTTATGGCTGTTCAATCTCATCTGTATGGGGAATGTAAAACAAACACAATAAATCTTTAGAGTCGGACCCCAAGAGTCATTTCCCTGGATTATTGCTAAACTAATATATCAGATATTTTGATTGAATATAATAATGTTTCTCTAACTTTCCTTTTGTAAAGTATACGCATCCGTCTTGTATGGTTGTCCACTAATTTATAAATATGGCTAAATTTAAGATTGTCTGCTTCTGAAATGGTGTTTAAGGCCTCCTTTATTGCTTCCCTGGAAAAAACCCGTCAGCTTCAGGCCAGCAGACTGATTTTCATTTTAAACGTGTAATCTTGCCACAGCCAGTTTCTCGAGATTGATATGCTATAAGCCTTGTACTGACACTCAGAGAAATGGATCAGTTTTAAGCTCAAAGTCACATTGATCAACAACTGGATATTTTCCTTTGGTTAAAAAGCCTTAACAGAATCCATCCTTATAGTTATATGATTGTCATGTAATGGACCAAACGTATACTGTTGCTACAGTATGTGTTGCCTTTCAGACATTTCTCTTTATGTACATTTTTGTACACAGAGCAATGGAAAAGCTCATTCTGGGTTTTCATGCCTTTTCTTTATTTTATTCACCATGAAGTCAAATTTTCTACTTGTGAGATGTTTAAGATTGTGGGTTTCAGCCATTTCATCTCTTTATTTCAGCATGCACATCCTTATTTAACTCAGGTTATGCTCTCCAGAGCACACCCAGGAAGAAAAATAACACTTTATAGTGTGAAAACAGGAGTCAGAATCAAATCATGTATCGACCGTTAAGAAGAATTTATATCTGCTCACGCACAGAGCCTTCCCGGGAACATTTATCACAGTGGCGGGGTGTGTGCTTACAAAGATCCCGTTACCACCAATCAGGATAGAGTGGCAAAACCTGCACATCTAAAAGGATGATCATCTTCCCCATCCACCAACACCACAAGAAGAACAACCACTTCTTCAATGATCGAACCGACCGAAAATCAGTAACTATAAAGCAGAAGTCCTTTAATGAGTGTGTTTTGGATTATATGGGTGGGGTCTGACTGGGGTTGTGATGGAGTACAACATTAAATGATAACTGGAAAGATGAAACAAAACAAGGGTCAATGAGAGGTGAAAACTTAACTCAGATACAGAGATGGTCATAAATAAGAAAAAGATGAGAGATGTGAATCGCCCGAGAGGTTCAGAGACGTCTTATGGCCTGAAGGCTTTGTCGATGATTTAGCCACACTGATGCACTGCACCTTGACCTTGGTGAGACTATAAATTGACACTTTTGGTCTTTAGATACTTAAGTCTTTATGACAGGAGGATGGCCAGTTTCACAGTGCAAAAGAGGACATGAGGATACCCATAGCTGATCATATTCATGCTTTGAAGATGCCCTTCAGGGAGACAGTGATCACTAAAACTGTAACTCCTGAAACAAGCACAGTCAGTTTTAATAACCCATCACCTTTAAATGGCCTTTTCTTTTCATGCTTTTAGTTGTAAAAAAAAAAAAAAAACCCACACTCAAGCTCCAGGTCTAAGAGAACTTTTACAGGCACAATATAAAAGCCGTTTCTTCCCTAATAAACTGCCTGAAGGCCTCAGCTGTTTACTTTGGAGACAAGTGAATATAAATCTGAAACTCCCAGAGGTTTTTTGTTTTCTGTTTTACAGTACTGTTCATAGTATGGTAATTCCATTTCAAATACCTCTTAGTCATTTCCCATAATTTAGTAGAAGAAAACAGAAATGCAACAGAACAGTTTTTCCCTCCACAGAAGCCTTCTCTTAGAGAAGATGCTGATAACACCCTTCATTTCTAGAAGATCTGGTTTGAATCCAAATAACCTTTTAAAGGATGTGCGTTATTGGAAATGTACGATTTTTAATCCTTGAGAGTCACTGGGAACAAACTTTCTTTTTCTGTTGACAGACAGTTAAATTACTTTTACCCAAAATTGAGGCTGGAACAACAGACAGTCTACAAATAATTCAGCAGAATCTCTAAAGTGCATTCATTATTCTGTGTCTCTTGCATTTGTAGAAAGTTAACTTAGTTTTGCTTTCGAAACAAAGTCAATACCTGTTGGTTTGAATAGTTTTTTTTCCCTCCTCGCTGTTCTCAAATTTGGAGAAAGAAATAATGAGCAGACATGACAAAGGGAGGTGGAGATGTTTGTTGGAAAAATTAGTTTCATGCTGGTAGAGAACTGAATTTGAGATCACTCTAAAGTGACCAGGAAGAAGTCTTGGAGGAACACAAGCAATAATGGGCTACGTTGTAGTTATGATGTTGTCCTTGATTTTTTTACGCCACAGCCAAAAATCATTTAATTGATGCAGTACCGAACATCATAGATTATGTCAGCAAAACTTTTTACTAGCCAATATAATATTAATGGTGATAAAAACTTCTCTTACTCATTGTATTTTTCCCCCCAGATTTTTAAAGTTAATTATTAGTTTGATCATAAAGACTAAACTAAGAATTAAGTGTACTTCTGTCAAAAAAAGTTTTTCTGCTTGTCTCGTCTTGACAGTTATTCCATTTTTCAGTTTAGTGGTTTATTTCTTTCAAAATCTTCTTTAGTTTCCAAAGATTTTTTTTTCATTTCATGTTCGAAAACAAGATGTTGTTGTTTACATAAGTACGATCAACGACAATCCGGAACTTAAAAAAGACGAGTTGTTTCACGTGGGTTGACTTTGCAGGAGGGACCTCCCACAGGCGATATATAGCACAACTTGTGCGGAGGTGCGGACGAACCGGGCGCCGTTTTTCAATAATTATTTATCGGGATTTGAAGTATGTATCCTTTCATTAGTTTCATTATACTATTGATTTTCTTACTTTAGAGAAAACACTTTAATACAATAGCGTTTTGAAAAGGGGAATCGTGTTTGCTTCCAGAAGATTAGCAGCTGATAGCTTAGCTCGTGTTAGCATGCACACAATGAAAGTGCCAGAACTAATCAAATGGTTCAGTTTGGTACTATTGCGTTTGCGTGATTTAAAAAAAAAAAGGATTAGAACATAAGAGCAAATGAAAGCAACGTGGTATTTTTTAGCAGTGGACAGGCAATCCCTGCAGTTACAGATGGAGCTAAAGGAATGGGCCACTACAATTATCATGCCAATACGATGTTTTATCATATAGATTTTTAATGTGTCCAGTCTCCTAATTGCTGTGGGTTCTTATAGCTGAAAAAGACAGATACACAATTCAAATTGCACACGATTTCTCACTGAACGATAGAACACCTTTACTTGCAAAGTCTGGTCACCACAACAGTGTCGCTTATCTTTGTCTTTAAATGGGCTATGGTCCAGGTCCAGCTGTTGAACCATCTCAGTGGGTTGAGGGAGCCCCAGATGATGCCCAACTATGGCTATACTCTACACAAAATGTGCTGACAGCAGCCCTCTGAATCACAGCAAGCGATTGCTAATATTATTCTAAGTTTTAGGAGAGGAGATGGAAATGACTGACTTGAGACTGGCCATTGAACTAAAGCAGATATAAGGGCACTGATGATTTCCTAATGTTCTTATCCAGATGTGCCATGATGTGTATTAGCACACTAACTTAATGCGATAAAACTGTTGGTCTCCTTCCATCCAGAGGCCGCAGCACTCATCTCGGCAAAAATGACGGACCGATACAACATCCACAGTCAGCTGGAACATCTCCAGTCAAAGTACATCGGTACGGGTCATGCTGACACCAGCAAGTGGGAATGGCTGGTCAACCAGCACCGTGACTCTTACTGCTCCTACATGGGGCACTTTGACCTGCTCAACTACTTCTCTGTCGCTGAGAATGAGAGCAAAGCCCGCGTCCGCTTCAATTTGATGGAGAAGATGCTTCAGCCGTGCGGTCCACCCGCAGACAAGCCTGATGATGCTTAGATTGCTCGGGGGCGTGCGGCCTGCTTTACAGCCCAGTCATTTTAATAGACATTGAAGGTTGTATTCTGCTGGGAAGAAATATCTGACCACTACCTTAAGAGCTGCCCCCATATTTACTGAATGACTTGTTTAAATTAGAGAAAATTGATTTTACATTAGAAGCTGAGCAAAGATGAGAAAACATGCTTCTTGCTTTGTGCAGATAAAATTGTAGAGAGAGGGACGAGATGAAAAGGGCTGCAGGGCCCCAGTGAGTTCAAAAGGTGCTCAATTTTATGTCATGTTTTTGTACTGAGTCATGTTCTCTTTATAAAAAGTTCTGTTTTGACCTGATTAAACATTTTTTCCTGACTTCTGTTCCCGTCGTGAGGGCATTGACCTGTTTTTGTAATTGTAAAGTAATTGCCAGCCAGCAGACAATTGCGGGAATTATTTTTTCTTAGTGGTTATGAAGTTTAAAGAACACGGCCATTATTCCTCTATGAGAGGAATAATGGGATCCTAATGGAGTAGCCTTCAAATTCATGCTTTTTCACACACAGTCAGTGTCTGTTCAGTGAACATAATTATTATCTGTGCTGCATGGATTTTACATTTTGAAGTTAAAATGTCAATTTTACAGCCCCTGTGACGGATGCAGGACCACAATGGGGTCCACACGCACTATTTCTTTGCCGCTTGACTTTTGTCTAATGGCAAAATGCGTGAAGGTTTCCCAAACTGAAGCACACATTTGTTATAATGAAACACTAGAGAACAGTTTCTTGCGACAGCAGGGTTTTATTTACACACCTAAAAATGTGTGTAAGCTACAGCTGACCGTTTATGTACATGTGTGAACCTGAAATGAAAGTGTGTAGTCACAAGGTATTGCTTTTTATAAATAAAAATACCCTGAAATAGAATGCAAACACAACACATATTTCTGGTCTCCAGAGAGATAAATTGGCTCCTTATTTTCCTGGTGGCTGGGCTCTGGAATTAGTTAAACATCTAGATTTTCCGTCTTCTTCTTGGTCTTTGGCTAAAAGAAAACATCAACAAAGGAAGTTCTCAGGATCCTAATGGTTCCAAGTTTTACTTTTCATCTCAGACTCCCCTGCTTTTGGGTGACACTACTGGTTATCCTATGTCTTTTTTTCCCCTTTCTATAAATGAAAAGTAAACAGGGATCCACAGATATATGTAGATCAAAGACCTCAGGTACTGTGTCGGATTTCATACCAAATAACTTTAAAATTAATTCAAATTTATTCATGTGACACGTTAACATAGAAAATAGTCCACTGTGTTAGAGGATATCTTCAAGCGAAAGTGCATGCAGAACCTTTGTGCAGATTAATGCTCGAGATAAATGTAAATGTCACATTTCACGTAACATTAGTGTTTCACTGATACACCTTGAACTCTGACAGCCTCAAACTTCCTCCTCCTGTAAACAGCTGAAGCTTTCAGCAGCATGTTTACCGTGCACTGCTCCACGGTACGGTTCTATTTTTTTTTGTTCTTTTGAGACATTGCAGAATTAACCAACTTTAGTCCACCTACACAGTATCTCACACATGAATTTGCAATTTCCCACCCACACACCGAGTTCACTGCTGTCATCTGTGCACAGTCTCACCGTGCTGGGGCATGTTTTAAACAGACGCCCCCCCCCCCCCCCGATCACCAAGTCTGATTTTAGGACTTGCTTACTGAAGGTGATTTCATGAGACACTCTGCCCCCTCCCAAAAAAAAACAAAAAAAACAGACAAATGCAACATTTTTCTGGGAGAGGATGAGATGTGTGATGACTCATTGTTGGCCTGAACAGCGGAAGCCGGCGGAGTTCACATGCACCATGACTGAGGGTTCGTGTGTGTGTTGGAGGGCTTCTTGGTGGGGTAACTCCCCGCCATCTGTCCTCTCCATGAGAGTCGGGGGTACAGGGTTGCCAAGTTAGGCGGGAAAGCAGCGTGGGCTCTGTCGGTGTGCCTCACAAACACACACAGACGAGGAACACTCCCATGGCTGTGACACCGGAGAGGAAGGAGCCCATAAATAGATATCTATAGATATCAGTATCCAGCATTTTCAACAGGGTGCCACATTTCTTTAGAAGTACTTTCAATCGAAAGTGGATGTGAATTATAGGCTGTCAAGACAACCGCAACCTCCTTTGAAGGTAAAGCACGCAGTGTGAAACCTCAGGGTTGTTGTTTTATGTGGATGAATGCATACAATTCTAAAGGTTTTCAACTGTTTCCTGGTTTTAAAAACAGTAATAATTCATTTTTTGAATAAAGAAAAAGCACGATAGATTCCATCTCTTTTCTCAACTCCCTTTAATTACAGTTAGAGGCGCATTCATTTCATCCAAGGAAATGAGGTATAAAAAAATAAGCTTGCTGTGTCCCCTTTATTCCTTTTCTAACAACATGAAGTGGTTTTTCTGGCCTCATTTCCATGCCTATTTTCTTGTTCATATTAATAGTGTCTTGAATTGCACAAATGTCCGGCTCTGCAGTTTGTCCATTGGAGCCAATAACTACCAAGTTTGGTTCTTTGCATTTAAAGATTTGAGGAGCATTTTGATCACTGATGTACTTTTGTGATTAAAAGGTACTGTATGTTTATTTCTTTACATAAAAGAAGCAGAAAGAAAGACCTTTAATTTAATTCCATTTCATTTTACCTATTCGATTCCTACCCCAGCTGCACCTTAATAAAAGTTTTTATTGAAATGCAATTATTAATTCTGCCTTGCTTCTGCTTATTGTCTGTGTTTGTGTCCACGTGTTCGTGAAGGAAATGAAGGCTTTCTTGGGAACTGAAGAATTCTGCGTTCCTTTAAGATGGAACATATAAGACTGGTTGAAGGAATTTAATTTGCTCAAGCATCAAGAGAATAAAGGCAGATACAATTTGTGTAATAATCACGCACACAGTGTAGGAAGACGATTCCACCAGAGATTCATCAAATATTATGGGGTGCTCATACTGTAAGCCTTTTTTCCCTCTTTTTAATTAAGTTCTGGAAATGACAGATCACATAATATCACTTTCAGTAAGGTACAGAACCAACCGGAGCCTCCAGATGACATATGGCTTCAATTATCTCTCACTTAAAAAATGATATTTTTGCATATTCGAACATCCTACCAGCCTCGTTTTTACAATGTTGTAATAATTCAACATAAAGTAAAAGATGGGAATGGGAAAAACTCCAATTTTGAGTTATTCAGTTACTGTTTTTCAGCCTCTCTGTTGGTGAAATCAGCGCAAGCACAGTTTCAGTCACATAATGTCTTTAAATGATTCAGAGATACCACTAAAATGTTATCATAATAAAAAGCTGAAAACTGAAATGGTGGATAATCTCACTTTTTGGTGAGTATAGCTCAGACTGCATGCACACAGTTCTTGTTTTGTTTCCATTCAGAAAGACTGGCATGGTTCAAACCTTCATGAATAAAACACAGTTAACCTTTCCTTTAGTTTCCCTGATTCTTTCTCAGGAAATGTGTTCAAAAGAAGTGATAATCTCAGATGTACTTCAGATGACTCACAGCAAATTGTTCCTAGAACAAAGGAGATGAAGTGTTGCACAGATGGAGAATCTGGTTTCCATGAATGGAATTTTATTAACGTTGACGTGACAGGAATTTCAGTTCTAATCAACCGATTTCTCCAGAGCAGAAACACTTTTACACCCTTTTAGTGGTTGCCAGTTTAGATCCGTCTCTCCGAATCCTCAGTGAAAAAGAATCACAGTAGAAAATCGATAACATCCTCTACTGTTCATCCACATTGGTCACAGAGGTCTGCAGCGTGTCTGGAGGGTTGGAGTGAGGTTGTGATGTCATGAGATCCAATTCTGTCCTTATTTCTATGGAGACAAATACAAAGTGCCCAGATGATGCATGAACCCTGATGCGCTCCCCTTCCTGTGCTTTCTAACAGAAAATAGAAAAGTCCAGTCATTGTGCGTCTTGTTCTCCACTTTTTTTTTAAAATCAATGACTCATTGCAATATGTGGGGAAAATCAAAAGTGATGATTTGCTTACCATGCACTTGGTGTTTTTATTTGTCCGTTACCTGAACCAGAGACAGCTGGGATTGACTCCACCCCCCCCCATCACCACCACCAGCCTCCACCCCCCTGCATAAAAGCCGCAGATTACTGAGATTTGAGAAAATTGTGCTTTGGCATAATTTTCTCTGTGGGAGAATATCTATGTCCATTTCACATTTCAGCCCATGTGAATGCCCACAGCTTGAGTTCTGAGGGTACACACTTATGTGCGCGGCACCTGGTTTGTGCTGTTTTTGCTCTGGAATTAAAAGCAAGAGATGCACAAATAAGGCAGCTGACAGCTGAAAAGATCTTGGATTTGCATCGGAATGACAACAATCATCCAACGGTTTTTCAGATGTTCCCTATTTGAAAAGTCTGACAGAAATGATGATAACACAGGAGCTGTAAACAATGCCACTTAAATGATGCTGTGGCTTTTTGATCATAACTGTTCCTTATTGCGTTCATTCACATCTTCCATGTGTGTACCACTCTGTATCCCTTTACTCTCCATCTGAAGGAAAAGCTGAATGCTTAGAGGAGAGATTCATTCATTTTCCTATAAGGGGACAGTAGTTGTCAACAGCAGTTTAGAAATAATGGGAGGTTTCACTGTGCTACAGCTATATAAGCATGTCATATTACAATTTCAATATATATCAAATAACAATGCATCTTCACAAAATGTCTCCCTCATGCTAAAGAAAATCCTGTTATTATTTGATTATGTACCATAACACAGAATTTCAGCGACTGAGTTATCATTTGTCAGCCTTTATATGGATAAAATGAGTGTTACTTACTCTGCTTAAATTAATCAGAAAAAGCGGAGGCTTAAAAAAAAATAGCCAGCAGGGTCTCTTTGTAGAGGCTATTAGGCCCTTTTTTGTGTTGTTTGTTCCTAATACACATTCTGAATCCTGTTTGTTTGCAACCTGTGGAAGAAGAAGGTCACAAGTTTAAATCACAACCTTTAAATAATTTTCAATATAAGCCTGAGCCTCTCAAACAAAAATGTTCAATTTTCATCTCAGTTTAGCAGAGCTATGCTGATGATGAAATAGAACTCACCGAGGCTGGATAATAAAACTTTGATAGACAGTCCTTTAGTGGGCTGAGGTGAGAACATGAAAGTACTGGCAGGAGAGCGGGATAATGAAAAGGGATGGAATTGGAATATTACCTGCCAGGATGATGTCCCTGCCCCACATTTCAACTGAGAGATCGGCTGTAAAAAATGGCCTCAGCAATTCTTCCCGTGATTTAAAGGAGTCACCTAAGTTGCAGGCTGCCTGGAGCCATCGGTGGAGGGGCACAGGGTGAGGAAATAAAAGCAAAGCAGGCCCCGTTGGGCAGTTGGGGGGATGGCTGGTTGGTCAGCTGACCATTTGGAACCCGGCGCTCAAAAGCTGCTTCACAGGCACTGGAACCGGTCAGGTGTTTGCTTGTCTGATATTTGCTTTAAACAACATGACCTATTTGCTTTTAATACCACAAATAATTAGTTGGTCACCTGTTGCCACATGTCCACCTTCCTGTTTTCTTAACCACGACACGATTCGCTCCCAAGACCGTCAGCTGTGTGCACTTCTCACCTTCCCTGGCAGAGAAGTGCGATGTGTGTCTCTGCTGGAGGATGAGAGTCAGCTAGCCATTCATCAAGTGTGAAATAGCCTGAGGAAGCCACGGCTTCGTGATACTGCTGAGCTGCAGGAGTATCAAAGTCTGGGAAAATTCAATTGGACATGGTGCAGTTATGAACAGAACAGTCTCGCTCAGTTGTTCCAGATGTTTCTTCAGGGGTTGTTTATTTACTCTAAAAATCGCTTCATTTAAAAAAAAAAAAAAATCGCTCATGAGCTTGGATCATTTTTGAGACAAGGATTATGTTGAGACCTTATCAAAGCCACAAGCAGAAAAGGCAAAAATAAAACCGTTGCTTCTGTCCCTGGAGTCATTGGATCAGAATAAAGATGAGCAGAACAAAACAAATAGGACTCAGAGAACAAAGATTTCACACTAACCCTAAAAAAAAAGGTTTCCATAATATCTTTCTTTTCTATCATATGGACTATATATATTCTGGACTAATAAAAAACAGGAGGGAAACGTTTTCATGATGTAATTTTAAGTCTATCATCTAAAAAAGTCAAATCTTTTCACTTATAACAGCTTTCTTATTCATACCAATCATCGTATCAACAGAAAAACCGTGACATTTGAAACTAAAAGTCACTGAACACATGTTTTGATGGAAGCTTTGTTTTGCACAATGGACTTCACACACAGACAAAAGCAGCTTCACAGGGAAATGTCTGAATGTCAGCTCTGCTCTGCTCAGCAGGGCAAGGGCCAGTGAGCATTTGTTGATAATTACTAATCGTGCTGCCAGCTTCAATCAGACCGTGATTGGCTTCTCAACAACCCCATCCAAAACAAGAGAGGGATGCAGGCTTTCTCCGACGTGCACCCAAAGCCGTGCTGCGCCTCAGATTTGACACATTCGATTGTGTTATTATGGGTCTGACCTTCCTCGTGGATTTGAACCATCATCTGGGATTTTAATGCTGACAAAGTCATTTCGGAGACTCGTTTGGGAAAAGTATATCACCCCAGTTGTGCAACTGTAATGCCCAATGTGGGTTCAAGCTACTCTTTGCTGACAGTTTCTGGAGTCGTGTGGAGAGAAATTACAAATTCTTTGAATTGTAAAGTTCTGGGTATCATAAAAAACAAGAAACAGATCACCCTTACAGGTTTAAATGCATTCCCTGATGAATCAGGGAACTTTTTTAGGATCAATCAAACAAAGAAGACAAAATGTTTATCTTTTAGAACATTTGATTTTTGTAGTTTGGAGCATTGGCACCAGAGTCCACATGAATTCAGCTACAAGAATCCAATGAACAGTTTCTCCAGCTGGGAAGTATAAATCTGAACCCTGCTTGCAATTTTCTCTCATACAATCTAGCGCAAACCAGGATAAATGCTGGAAAGTACAGTATGAGGACGCACTGGGGCCACTGACTTCTGAGGATTTACTCGTAATTTTGTGAGAAAAAAAGATTAATCAATTTTTGCTTTGCTTAAATTTAAAAGGTCATCATCTGATTCTGTTGATTAAATAATATTTGAAAGACAACTGAAAGACAACACCAAAGTCTTTCTCTTTATGAGATAGATACAAAAATAAATTAAACTCACAAATATCATTTCATCTTCACAGACTGTACTGAACCCGTGTCTCTACCAGGACTTCTTCTGACACGAACAGGTTCAGTTGCTCATTGTTGTTTGTAGAAATCATTTCTCAGCACAGTGAAAAAAAGAAGAGGCACTGTTCTTTCTGCAGTGTCTGGAAAGCTGAACTGAACAACAGTCCATACGATCTTTGCATTGGTTTTTAATATTGACACAAGAAAAACACATTCAGAGAGATTCAATTACACTTTATTACATTGATAGTGCACTGGCTCCATTGGCATCATCCATAACTGAGAAATTGAAGTCTGTACATTATACGACCGGACTGGAAAACAGCATAATTTTGATTACGTTATTTCTCGAGCACAAAGGAATCGCAAAGCGTATATTTCTCATAGATGCCCAAAACTTCGCTTTGTGCCTCAGAAATTGTGACAGTGTTCTCCATCTTAAGGTCAATCATTTGAAATGCAACACAATTACAGTAAGAGCATCGTAATCTCCATCATCCCCTTTCTTTGGTCCATGTGTGAAGCTTCCTGTGGTTCTGCTTTTGTGTAGTGAATTGCAGAGACTTTTGAAACAATGTGCTTTGTCCTTACCGCTATATGGAAAAAAACAAAGCTTTTCATTTGAGATGCATGGTGTGTACATGTCAGGTTACACTACACTGTGTATCTAGACATTTCATCTTTATTTCTAAGATCACCCAGTTATTTCTTGGTAATGCATCGCTGGTTTGTATTTTTCTGAGACTGTTTTCTCAAAATACAGTCTCAGAAAGTAGCCCGCCTCTCGTCTAGTGACAGCTGGGACAGACCCTGGATCATCTGCACGCTTCTTCAGACTTACAAAGTGAAAGGCAGATGTGGTGTTTCTTACCTTTGTGAATATTGTTTTTTTTCTCTTTTACTGTCGAATAAAGCTACATATAGCTTTTTTTGGGCAATACATTTTCCTTGGAATATAATAAGGGGAGAAATATATCAGTCTGAGAAACAGGTACAAACAGCAATATGATACTGGGCACTTTACCTCTGTATCGTGCACATTTTTGTTCAATTTTTTAAAGCACAATCATTATAACTTTGGCTGGGAGCAAGGAAACAGTTTCACCACAGCACCCTTTTGCTTACCATTTGTGAATGCTGAAAATGCATATTTAGAAAAAGAGAGAAAATGCATTAAAATCTCCCAGCACTTCAGCACGTATTCAAGGCTGTCAATAAAAATGGATTTAAGGAGGTATACAGAAAAAAATTGCTATTTTTGTTTATTTTTATTTAGTTCATCAAAATTCTGACTCATTACCACTTTGAATGCTGGATAACAGCTTGCTTTTCTCTTTCTTGTCTCTTCACTTTGCTGTTAACTATGACTGATCCGAGAGGTTAAAACGCTCCAGGTTTGAAATCTTTTCATTAAATCTAGTACACAAACAGAAAAAGATAACAATTTCCGACATGAGCAAAAGTTCTGAGCCTCTACAAACACAGAGGAATTGAGAAATGTGTCATTAAGCATTCATCTGATGGACGATTTACAATCTGATTAAACTCGTTACTCGTTATTGTTGGCGCGTCGTTTCCTTAACCTGAATATAATTAAACCATGACTCACAAGAAAATAAAAGAGGAACATTTGTATGCTCTGTTACACAGTATTCATGAACAATTGGTTAAGTTTGAAACATCCCTTTTTTAAGAGTTTTCTCTTTCCTTTATCAGTTTTTCTGATGAGGTCTTTCTGTTGTGAGGTGACGCTGTTTTCTACAACTATAATGGTCTTTTCTTATGGCTGTTTACATGAAAGAAGGACCCACTTGGCTCCTCAACAGTCAAATGTTATCATCACATGCGGTGTAAAATATCACATACTGTACATGTTCTAGTATAAATTACATAGAGCATGTGACAGCTCACCATAAAAAACTACAGTGTCTGCTTTCATGCTTTTTATGAGGACTGAAAAGAGTCTTTTTTAATCTACAACTGACTGTGTCCACTATGTGGCAACAACGAAATACTTTCCTTGAAATAAATAAGTTCTATTCTGTATATATCAAATGCACAATCTAAGTTTTACACACAGTGATCTCTAATTTTTCAACAAGACAGAGAGAGATTATATCTGTATAAACAAGAACAATGGTCTTTATGAGATTAAAAAACAACAACACAGTGATTACACCAATACACTCCTGCTTGTGTTGATAGGACTTTTTCAAAATGAATTATTCACAGAATATCGCACAGAGCTACCCAAAAAGGCATCTTGGACATTATACAGAACACAGTCATGTTAAAGATGAATCCAGATGTAAAATCCACCCTCGCTCACTCATAAAGTTCTCAGAGGAGATGAGGCTCCATTTCAGTCAGTTTCTGGCGTGATGGCTGCTAAGGTGTAGTCAACCATACATGGAGTATTTTATCCATAACAGCATGCACTGTGAGCTGTACAAACACGCTTATTATTATTTTCTTAACTGCTTTGTACCGTCCACAGTTTGGTAACAGGATGTACAGTGGTTTCCAGTTTGTACATTCAGAAGTCTGTCAGCTTTTTGCGAAGTGAGAAAAAACACACAATTCTCCCCCAGGCTTTACATAATCTGTGTGGCAGTCTTATGTGAGAAATGGCGATGGAAAAGCGCAGTTTTACAGCAACAGGTTTTTATTAGTCCTCCAAGTGTTGACAGGCCGGCGTGGGGCTGAGCAGAACAGCAGTAAACTGGGACTGTCACCCCCCTGCCCAAGCCTCTCCTCCGCACATGGACGAGCACAGTTGGCGTGCATGACTTTGAAGTCCACCTCTTGTCCAGTGACAATTCTCACGTGGGCGGAGAGCCGCCTAACTCTTTGAGCAGGTACCCCCGTAAATCCACAAACCTCCCACGGGTACAGATCATTCCCAGAGATGACTTCCGCAGCAGAAGTGATTGATGTGTCGTGACGGGAGGTGAACAAAGACAATTAATTGATCTCTCTTTACAGCCCAAAGAATTAGTGGCGAGCCGAGCGTTAGGACTGGATGACCACATCAATGAGGCAGAATTAATGGGACAACATCATATAAATGACTTGTAATAGTTTTTATAGATCCGTTAACGCATCTGTGTCCTCGTTTCACCCTATTTCTACATATAGTGTGTATTTTACTAATATCAATGTCAACAAAAGTCACATTAAACTGTTTGTTAGAATTTAGTGCAACAGCCCATGGCCGTTCTAATGATGCTTGATTTTCTGTTTAATTTGAGCTATCTCATATTTGTATCTGCATGAACAAATTTAGCCTCTGAACAGCCCTGCAGCCGATGCATCATGAAGTGGTCTGTGTTGTTTCTGCTACGTTTGGGAATTGCTGTGTGCCCGTTTGCTTTTGTGTGTGTGTGTGTGTACACGTGTGTGTGTGTGTCAAAGTCCTGTGGTGACTTGCGTGACTTCGGAGTTGAGATCATCGTTGGCAGCGCCACCGCAACAGCGCGAGTCCACCGACGACCCCTCCAAGGCTAGTCATACCTGCAGAGGGAGGAGACGGCGTGTCTGCGTCGTGACGCGCACACTGCTGCGCAATTCTGTGGCAAATGTCTTAAATTCTCCCCACCTCAGATATTTGATTTTGCTCTGGAGAAAAGTCAATCTATATGACAGAGAAATCCCAAATATTAGAGTGAGGGGGTACTATCAGGAGCCACTGACACAGAAGGTGGTTCAGATTCAAGAACCTAACCTAAATTATTGGAAAGGTTTGGGTTTTAAAGATGCCTCTTACAAATGGGATTTGTCATGTTGAATTTTGTCAAGTGCAAGCACCTAGAAATCATTGTCAATCATTTAGATATGGTGCAAATAAAAATCGAGTTGATGTATACACTCCATTTTGTTTTCATTTTTACTTATTTCTTTTTCAGTTTTAACAAAGAATTATTATTTAGCTTTTTTGTCGGAAAAAAAATAACAACTAATATGAGATGTGCTATGTAAATTATGAAAAAACAATGCTGAGCATTAAATAGGTTCAAATATCTGACTGAAGTATCGTATTTATAATCCAGGAGTGGCGTCGAGCTGTAATCCAATCAAAATGTCCTCAACACATGCATGTATAGAAACACACAGACACTGACCACCTGATGGTTGGACCTCTCGCCGGTGTTTGGGCTGTTGTTTTCACACCGTGGGAGCTTGCGGCTGGTGGCCCCGGTTCTGGAGGAGTTCTGCATCTCCAACACGGAAGGACTCGGGGTGCAGAACTCACGAAAACAACGCTTAAAGTTCTCATCCAGGTATCCATAAAGAACAGGGTTCAGACTACTGCAAAAGGGCAGAAAAGTTTAGGAAAAAAAGATTTAGCGGCCATAAATGAGCTTTTCCCTAGACTCATCAACATGTTTTGATGAATATAAAGAGGAATGTGCATTCTAAAAGATACTAAGAAATATTTTCCCATAGATATTTACATTTACACTCAAAAATAACTTTCATTTCTTGTCCTCGACTCTCTGGAAGTCCCATTTTCCAACACAACAAACAAAACGGCCTGCCGGCTTTGCACCTGTTCGTGTAGCCCAGAGCAATGCAGAAGTGCCAGGTGATGCTCTGCAGCGTGGAGTTTGGGATGCTGATCAGAGCTGTGATGATGACAAAGACGTGAATGGGAGTCCAGCAGATGATGAAGACGGCCACCACCACCAGCACCATGCGGGTGATTCGACGCAGGTTCCTGTCTTTCTCCTGGGAAGCAGTTACCGGATGGTACAGAAAATTCAGTATTGAGGACAAGTCAGAACACATGACAAGGAAAAACAGGAGTGGAAGATGACAGTAGTCAAAGGAGGACACATTTAACTAACAAAGAAAGAGAAGGGACTACACATAGTCTGACCACTGCAAAACAAAGAGGGGTCAAAATAAGGATTCTTATAACTGCAATGTTAAGAAAAACCTTTTCAAACAACTTTACTTACAAATCTTGAAAAATCTTGGGGGTTTTTTTTCACTGAAACTATCAAAGTATAGTCATAATTTCTGCCCCAGGACAAATCTGGGCAGGTTGTTGTTATCGGTAAAACTGAACCACAGCCTAAGGCCTGAGTGTGTTTCTGCCCAAATCGCTTTGACTTGACACGTCCCTACGGTGACAGGACTGTATTTTCAAATACACTCCGGGCAGTCTTGACATTCCCTGTCATCTTCCATAGGGATGTGATGGGAGATCATTCCGGTTGATTTTTGTGAGCGTACCTGGGAGCCAGACAGCATTCGCACACTTTTGAGCCGCAGGATCATGAGGCCGTAGCAGATGGTGATGATGAGGACGGGCATGATGAAGGCGAAGATGAACACGCAAATCTTCAGCAGGGTCTCCCAATACCAGGAGGGGTGAGGGAAAATCAGCCTGCAGTCGACAACATTGGAATCTGTGCACAGGGGTTGATAAGGACATATCGTGATTCCACGAGTTCACACAAACATTCATCACATGCACAGGTTTTTACACTCGTCTAAGAGGTGTAGGATATGGTCTGTTTTTGTGGTCAACATGACATCTTTACTTTGTTCAGTGCCTTTTTTTTAAGCGATGAAAATGTAACCTTAGTAAGGAGATATTGTTTAATTAACACTGAAGCACTGAGCATGTTATTTTGCAGCCTCTCAGAGTTGTTTGCTTAGTGTTATGTACCGAACTATCTTCCTCTCTAATTCTCAAACACCCAGCAGATCCAGAGCATCATTAGTGGTCAAAGGGACACATCTATTTGATGTGTTCAATAAAGCTGTTTTTGCTCTGTGAAAGCTGGTGTGGTGTGTATTAGAACAATACCTCAAAGAACACATTTGACAGTGATGAGCTTCATGTGTGTAAATGAGCTGTGAGTTTTCCAGTGATTAATGTGTCTGACTGGGAATTTAATGATCTGATCACTAAATAATATCTTTATCCTCAGGTGACACTGTTCGTCTCTATGCAAGTTGATGTCTTTCTCCAACAGTTTATTTTCATGTGCATCAGTTTTCTCCTGAGCAAGTTTAAGCGCCATACCTTGATACCCATTTTAAAGGTGTCTGTAGATCTCCTCTTTACAAACAGAGCAAAATCATGTTTCAGTCATTTTACCATTCAGATATGTATTCATGTTTCAAGGCAAATCTAAAACCATCGTTAAAAAAAAAAGCATGTGTTTCAGATATCTGTTTTCCGGGTGTATGGCACTCGTCAGAAACAACTGGTGAGTCATTGATTTTACTCTTTGCAAAGTCAGATTAGAGGTATGAGGTTTGTTGCCATGCTCTCTAATACATGTCCAGCCTTCCACTAAACAGGTGCAAAACACTTTTAAAAAAAGAGTCATTTTCAGCATTATGTTTCTAGTTTTCCTACAGTTAAAAACTAAAAGCAAAATACTGAAAATGACTCTTTTAAATAAGACTGAAAAACAACAAAGGAGACCTGGTAAGCAACAGTTTCTGCCGTTTGACTCTGGGAAGCTTGTATGTTTGGGCAGCTCCAAAGAAGAACATTGGCTCTCTTGTTTCTTCTTTGTAAGCATGCCAGCTTAATACATGACTTTTCAAGCTAGACAAATGAGCAATCACTGAATATGCCTCATCCTTTTCGTGCCTCTGAGCTCCACTTGAACAAAAGAACATTACAACGGAACGATTTTTCTGGTGTCATCCTCTCACATCAATTGTGTGGCTGGGTTGGTCACAGCTCCTTAACATTGTCATTTCCTCATTCAGTCCTTTACTTGGAGGAAAATGGATGACAAACCCAAATTTTTCTCTTAAAATATTACTTCCTTCAATGACATTTTAGACGATCTCACTCTCATTTCCAAATTCATTCTGAGTGTTATTCATCCTTCATCCTTGATTAAAGGATGATGGGCTCTCGCACTTACCGGTGACGATGGTGGTGGCCATGAACATGACGGGCAGGCCGATAGCTGAGGAGAGAATCCAGTTGCAGATATTGACGATTTTGGCGTTGCGCGGCGTCCTGAAGTCCAGCGCTTTGACGGGGTGGCAGACAGCGATGTAGCGGTCGATGCTCATGGTGGTGAGCGTGAAGATGGAGGTGAACATGTTGTAGTAGTCGATGGACATCACCATCTTGCACAGCATGTCGCCAAACGGCCAGGTGCCCATCAGGTAGTTGACGCTCTGGAAGGGAAGCGTGCTGGTCACCAAGGCGTCCGCCAGTGCGAGGTTGAAGATGTAGATGTTGGTGGCCGTCTTCATCTTCGTGTACCTGCACAGGAAACACGGGCCCATTGCAGGTGTTTAGCCTCTCACCAAGGATGTGACGAAAACCTGCCAATGCATCTTTCCAGCAGGAAGACACATTTCCATTAAGTGTGTTCTTCTCTTTGTTTTTCTTTTTTTTGTTTGTATCATTTCATGTGTATATTTTTTTTTTAATTCTACCCTTTTTGTTGTGTTGAGTCATTCACAGAGGAAGCAGAGATGGTGCTGTGATGCCGAGCGAGGCCTCTCTGACCTGCCTCTGAGTTCAGGGACTTTTCAGCGTGACTTGCTTACAGCCAGTTCCCAAACGGCCAGTTCATTTACCCGATGTAAGAAATAAACTCAACCGTTGGGATTCTTTGAAATGAACAGAAATGTTTCGATCTGACTGAAAGCGTACAAGGCCAAATTTCCCAAAGTTGGCAAAACAGATATAATTCTGCTGGGAGTTGGAGACTCCCACATGTTTATGTTAATCTGCCCTCAAACTGACAGAGGCAGTCAAAGTGTTACCTTAGTAACAGGGCTCCATGAAGATTTACATAAATAGGTCAGTAAATACAAATAGAAAAAAAGCCTGTAATTCAAGGATATGTTCTTGCAACAATCCAAAGGCCTTTTTAAAATTATTCAATTCTTGAAAATTTAAAATTAAAAAGATAATTAGAAGAAAAACTACTCAGGTGGTAACTGATGCTGAAATGTAACCTATTGGCAAAATACCCTTTAACCTTCAGGACTCTTTTGCTTGAGTCAGTAATTTTGTCATTCAAAAACCAAGTTAAATGAGAAAATAAATGGCTGTTCTCTAGTGTAGATGCTTACTTTTCTCTTTTGTTGTTGATTAAATCATTTTTAAAAATGCAATATCCAATAATGCAATAATAATAAATAAATAACAATAATAATGGGTCGCTGTTAAATTACACCAACAATCAATGCAATTGAATTTCTATACACTTTATTCTTGTACGGTACAAGTATGTCGCACAGCTAAGACTCACAACTCACACAACATGATTGCACTGAAATGAGTCGAGCTTTAGAGTTTCACAATTGCAGCAGATGTTAAATGTCTTATCTGACAATGCTTCATTCAGGCTTTAGATAAGATGCGACCCTCGAAGAAAGCACTGCTGCGTGACGATTTTTCTTTCTCTTGCTGTGAATAACCAACATCCCACACAGGCTTGTAGTCACTGCATTGAGTTTATAAAGAGGGCTTTATTCCCCAAGACCAAGCTTATCAAAGATGAAAACATCGAAGGCAAAGATAATTAAATGTTCTAAAGATCTTGCTTCTTTTTTTTTTTAATCAATCGTCTTTTAAATGTAAGGTCACTGAGTAGACAAAGAGGGCAGAACAAAAATAAAGCAATCCTTCAGTTTGCAGCAGCTTTAGCTTTTTATGGTGGAAAACCAAATAAAGTACGGAAGCAGTTCAAATAGAATTGGGGTAGTGAAGTGTTTACAGAAAAACAGAACAAACTGCGCGCATCCATTTGCTCAGAGAGCAGAGGATGAAACCCAGACGGCTGAAATGGCTCAACTGTTTAGATCTCTTGTCAGCAAAGATGAATACTTCGTTTAGTAATTGCTGTTCTTGGAGTGGGGCAATGACTTGTGGCTGGATCCCATCAAAATATCTCAAATCATTTCTCACAGACATCATTATCCGCATACCGTGACACCACTGAAATATTAAATCAACATCCATCACAATTAACTGATTCTGAGTTCATGCTCTGTGCAGTCAAGCTAAATCAAATATTTACTACTTAACTCACACTTGGCTGAAAAAGCTGAGAGAAGTTCAGCCTCACCCTGCAGCTAAAGACCACATTTAAATGTTTAAAGAGGAAAGTCTGACATTTAATCAAGCTGGGCCTGTTTCAAAATGTTAAATATGAGAAGCATCCCTACTGTTAGGATTCCCCAACATGGTCAACACGCACGTATGGAATAATGGAGTTAGAGAGGCCCATTACGCAGCACAAAGCTAATCACCGCAAATCATTAAGTTTTAATGAAACTGTGTGAGATTTAAGTGACTCTGGCTGCGAAATGCACTTGAATTAATTTGCCATGAAATACATTTGTTCTCAGGATGGATTCTGAGACCAGGGGTATGGATTTGCTTTTAAATTGATAATTATCATCATTCCTGACATCCTTCATTCTATTGTTTGTAAGAACTTCACAGGAAAAAGTATAATTCAAGAAAAAGATTAATCAGAAACTCTGAAAAGAAAAGGTAAATATGTGAACATTTCTTTGCAAACTCTTTCGACATGACATGAACAAACTACCCTTTTTCCTTCAACTGGAAAAATATTTTCTGTGTTTGTACAAAACATGGTCATGGTGCTATTTGACATCCACTGGTCTCATTATCGAACTCATTCCTTCCACCTGTGAGATTATTTGCATCTACGTTGCTCGAGCCCTCTCCTCAATAATCCCAAACCAACATTGATGACAGTTAGTCCTGATTAAGTTTAACGCCGACAGCCTTTGTTTGTTATGCAGACTTTATTTGCATTGGGACCCATAAGACTCACTTACCGAGTGGTGTGCAACAGCCAGATGTAATTTCCAACCTTCCCTTATTGACTCAGAGACCTTTGTGAACACAGATGCTGAGCTGATGGCTGTTTTTCTCCTGTGTGTTGAATGAACGAGGCTTTGGTGTAATACGTGAGGATGAATGGCGTCTACACGTGTGACTGAACAGAACGAGGTGTTTCCTAATGAGGTTTCTGCTTTAATTTATACAGTACCCTTGAAGCATGTTACACTGATCAAGAATTTGTTGCTAATGAGCTTTTCACATCGTTGCACAACTTCTTGGTTCATTACTTAGATAGATAAATAAAAATCTCACAAACCTTTGACAGAAACAGCTTGAGTTACTTTTATTTATAATGATATATTTAAACGCTCGTTCGAAAATTCTTTTCGACCGTACAGAAAATCATCACTTGATGACGCCGCGAATATTTTGTACACTTTGGCGGACAATTGTATGGATTTCAACCGAACAAAGTTAATTTTTTTTCAATACAGAAAAGAGTTTGATGAGGTGGATTGATCTGAAAACAGTGAAGTTTCAGCGCAGTCTCTAAGGTTCCACGGTCAGCCTGAACTGAGCTTATGAACTGGACTTATTTGGCCGTTAGTTGGCTTAAAATGAACTGCATCGAAATTCTTTGGCAGTTGGATTGAACTGGACTGTAACCTTTTCAAGGAACCTTGAAATTGACTAAATTAGCTCCACCCTCAGGTCACCCTGTGACTGGAGCAGGATACATTACCTCTCCATATCAGGTGTAATAGCATAGACTTATTGTTCATCCACGCTGAAAGGTTTGCAGTCAAGGTCCTGATAAAGACGTTTCCTTTCTGATTTTCTTTTACACTCATTGTCTGGATATGAGAGAAAGATAATGCACAAACTGTACGACTGTACGTTTTTATGTAAAACTGAGCTGTGTCCTCAGCTAAAGGTCCCCACAGTATTTACTGATCATATATTATGAAGGATGGTAGAAATTAGAGCAGTTCTCAAAATGAAAAAAAGTTTTTAATCTTGGTAATGTATCATGATAAAAAAAATCCCTGCCATAGCCAAGCATCTTCATGTTGGATCTGTACCAATACTATCTCATTCTCATGGGACTCAGGCACACTTGACTTTACAAGACAGCAGCTTGACAGCAGAGCTTTCGTTACTGTGGCGCGAGAAGGTTTGTCCACGTTACATGTGATGGAGTAATTCTGCATCATTCGTGATGAAAACTGGCTTCAAGACATGACATATTGTCCATACACTGGCAATTTCCACACATTATATGATTTTTTTTTCAAACAAAACTAGGCTGAGGGCCCAATAATGGCTGAGTACAGTTAAGGGCGAGCAGATGAAAATTGGCTAATTCAAGTTAAATCCACTGAATAAATAAGGCTAAATCACATCAAAGCTCTGTGAAGACATAGTGGATGCTACTTTAATTCATATAATTTACTTGGTTACTTGGTAAAGCACATTGCGAAGGAAATGTGCTACAAAGCCATTAAATGAGTCAATTTGAAATTGTAAATCAATTTAATTCAAATAGAAAATGTGTAAACCTTGTACAATCCCAAACTAACTTCTGACTGATTCACAAATTTTATGCGCACATGAAAAGACCAGTAAACCAGCATGTAATTCATTAAAAAAAGAAAAGAAACAATCTAAAGGACTTGAACTGATTAATAACAACTGCTGTGTTTCACTGATTTGCAATATGGTGTTACAAAATGAATAATGAATATGGAGACAGGAAATTACACCATATTACTTCATAAAATTCCAAATGAATTTCTAAGCCAGAAACAATTATTTCATGAAGTATCATTCACACCGAGAATCCCCCACAGATGGGTCCTCGTTTCGGAAATGAACTTCAGCAGCTCACATGAACAGGAGATATAAACCAGATCTAATTATATACCCGTAAAAATACAACTAACAGAAGTAATCTGTCATAATCTGTCCAGCATGTTACTGACAGGAAGACAAGAGTCCGAAGAGAGAGCTTTTTTCTTATCTTCACAATTTTTGCTCATCTTCATCACACCGCCTCTGTGAAGTCATAAACTATATTGTTCCCTCTGATTAAGTGAGATGTTGCATTATCCGGAGCAACATAACCACTGACAAACTGACTAGGTTTTTTTTCAAACAAACCAAATTGTTCCTTGTTTCCAGATATTGTAACTCATGGCCTTCATTCATTCCAAAGCAGGTGCTTTGTATCTTTCACAGATTTCCCATCCAGCTTCATTGTCCAATATTTGAGGACAGATGCTTTTTATAGGGCAGTTTTACATTTATGTCAGGTGTGATGAGACATTTTACAGGGTGCAAACGTAAGCATCTGTTTCCTGTTAAAAGAGGGAAACACAATCTGTCCCATAACAAACGGAACTGTAATGGGAAAACTGATTCTAACGTTCAGT